GCTGCTGTTTTGCAATTTGAGCAAACGTCTAAAGAGAAGTGAACTTAAGCATATTTCAATTAAACTTCAGTTGCCTGACATTATCTCCAGCAGAAAGGGACCCTCCACATCAAAATAAACTGCTCAGCCCACAATTCAGCAAACACATCGCTTATAAACCAACATAGGGCATGCTGTAGAGCTGAACAGTGCAGTGGCTTTACTTTATATCAACAGAAAAGAAAGATGGCTCAGTGGTTGGCACTGTTGCCTCACAGCAAGAAGGCCACTGGTTCGAGTCCAGGCTGGGTCAGTTGGTGTTTCTCTGTGGAGTTTGCATGTTCTCCCCGCGGGTTTACTACGGGTGCTCCGGTTTCCCTCACAGTCCAAACACATGTGCTATAGGGGAATTGATTTACTAATTTGGCCGTAGTGTATGAGTGTGTGGGTGTTGTGCATCTGCTGCATAAACATATGCTGTAATAGTTGGTGGTTCATTCCACTGTGGCGACCCCTGATAAATAAGGGACTAAGCTGAAGGAAAATGAAAAGAGAGATGTCCATAGATGCCTTTTTAAGCTGTAGAGAAATCTGTGTTTTTGAAACTAATGAAGACAGCACAATCGACGATTTATTTTCCTTATTTAGCTTGACATGTTTACTGCTCCAAAATATCTTAAATGTTTCTTCAAATAAAATGTACTGTTCTCAATGTGGTAAAAAAGTTTTTTACACAGACGTTTAGAAAGAACTTATTTTAGAGCAGTGACTCTGAATCCATGATCCCAGCAGGCGCAGGACGTCAACATAACGTCAGATTGACATTGTACACTAATGTTATGAGACGTGTTTTGTTTGGAGATGAAAATCAGACGTCAGAACTCAAACATCTGACATCGGGGTCCAACGTCCAACCTAAAATCAACCAATGATCAACATCTAATGATGTTACAGCTTGACGTTGTGTGGACGTTACCACTATGACGTCAATCAGACGTTGGATTTTGGTTGCCATACCTGATGAATAAATGTCAGTATTTGGCGTCGATATGACGTTGGTTTAAGATGTTGGCTCCACGTTCGATTGTGGTCACTTTCCAACAACCTAAAATCAATTAAATATCAACGTCTAATGATGCAACAGCTTAACGTTGTGTGAACGTTACCACTGTAACGTCTATCAGACGTTGGATTTTGATTGCCACATCTGATGAATAAATGTCAGTATTTGTCGTCGATATGACGTTAGTTTAAGATGTTGGCTTGACATTGGATTTTGGTCACTTTCCAACACAACCTAAAATCAACCAAATATGTCATCTGACATTGTTATTAGACGTCAAATTAACATTGTCTTTAGACTAGTAGTGTAACGGATCATAAACCTCACAGCTCTGATCACGTTATGGTTTTTATCGTCACACATTGGACCATTTTTCGGATCAGCCAAAAAGAGGAGACAAATATAATATTATTACATAAACAATACTGCAAGACACTTTTGGTTTCATAACATGAAGAAATAATCAGCTGAATTTAAATAAATTGCTAAATATTTAGTGCTGTGAAAAATTCCCTGTTTCTGCTGTTGCTGATGACGCTAAATGTAGAAATGTAACATTATAATTTGCACAACCTATATTTATTTTTAGTCTAATCTTCAATAAATGACTCAGTTATTCTCTCATAGGACTTCATGTTTCATTGCTAGATGATCATTGTTGAAGAATTGTTTAGTGGTGTATTTTTGATGGCTGGTTGTCGCCACCTACTGGTTAAATAATGTAATTGCTGCCTACAACTTTCATTTTTGAGTGTTGTTAAGTGCATATGATGGTGATTTTAATCTTTACTATAAGCATTAGTGGTTTGATCTAAACTATAAGCTGTTCTCCTAGTACTTCTGTGTTATTTGACTGTATCTTCATAACCAACTCAAAAGACTAAAGACCAAATCTCTTTCTTGATTTTTGCATTATTTTAGCACAGATTTGAATGCAGCGATTGGAAGGATTGATAAACACATGCAAATCACCATCATTTATAATAGATGTTGCGTGGGTGTTGAGATCCCAATCTTTTAATGAATAATCATGCAGCTTACACTGAATGCATTAATGCAGAAGTAGTGACAAGTGCACAGAAAACACCTTTGATAACCTAATTATGCTGTGTTCACACCAGACGCGGAACACGCGGATAAATCGCGCTATTCGCGAGTAAATAGCCGCGTGAACATTTGAGTTTACTCGCTTCTTTCGCGCGTCAAACCCTGCTTCATTTACGTGTCAAATTCACTTCAGAACAGACGCGGATTCGCGTGATGGGCGGGGCTTCTGTCTGCCCCGTGACTCTAGCTTCATAGCGAAAGGGCTAACATGGATTTTATGAAGAAAATAACAGTGTTTATGTGCTTTATGAAGGATGATAAACAGCGTTGATACGTTTAGAGCTGTGTCTGAGTCCACTACATCCTTTCAGAGGTGCATCCAGCTCTTTAAGCTCATAGACTCCTCCAGAAACTGAACCTGGCTGATGGAGGTTTTCAGCGGTGCTTCTGACTGAGCCCAGCCCAGTTTGATGAACTTCTTGTCGGTGTCTGCTGGGGGATTTCCCCTGGGACACCGACAACAGGCGATACGTCACAATCACGCCCTCACAAGAGCAAGCTCCTGATTGGTTAACGCGGCGCGAATGTCCGCTGAAGTTCAGGGGCCTCATGTACGAAGACTTGCGTGGAAATCTTACTAAAACATTGCGTACGCACAAAGCTGTAAATGTGCGTACGCAGAAAAAAATTCAGATGTATGAAACACTGCGTACGCCGAATCTCACGCATATTCTTTTGTACATCCGAATGAACGTGAAACTGAGCGCAACATGCACGAGCACAAAACCCCTCCCTGCCTCCTCCCCCGCATGAATATGCTAATGACTATGCTAATGGCAAAACCCAACGAAAAAGCAATGGCAAAAGCAAGCAAAAAGAGAAACTTTGAACATAATGTGAATTGGAGGTGCTGCTTTCGGAGGTAGACCGGAGAAAAGCGGTTTTATTTGCAAGTTCTCCGGAATTAACAACAAAAGGAAAAAATAGAGAGTTTAGCTGATGCGGTTAACACAGTTGGGTCTGAACATCGCACTGAGTGCATTAAAAAAAAAGAAATAGTGTGATTTATATGTGTAAAAGGTTGCAATACCCTTAACAGTCTCAGTGGCGCACCTCGTAAAACGCATGTGATCATGAATTGACACGTTCGAGCATGAACTCGGCTCGAATCCAGCGTCTGATGAACTCTTTCTTATTTTTTTCCCCGCTACATATCAGATTTTGCCCACTATTTATCACGAGAAAGACAAGTAGGAATCATTAATAAGTTTGTGCATCATATTTTATTTGCACATTTATTGAATGGAAATGTTTCTGATTCACGCATGCAAATTCATCTTCAGAAAGTGTCTTTATAGCAATGTGCGTGCATTAGATCGCTCAGATTACATTGGGAAAACAGGCGGCCGCTGCAAATTGTGCTTTAATGTTTAGCTGCTCAACTGTATGGTATGGAAACCTTAAATACCTGCTAGATGAACCCGTCTCATACAGCTGCCATTGCAAGGCTCAGACACTTTGTAGAGAGGAATTTAACACAACTGCCTCTAGGAGTCGCCAATGGAAATAAAACACACACGCACAAAAAATGTGCGTACGCCTGCCAGAAAGCTGCCGTGAAGCTGCGCACATTCCCACGTTCAGTTCATTTTTAGTAAATCCAAACGTGAGCGATTCTGAGCGCGAAATCTGGCGTACGCAAAGTTTTTGTGCGTACGCAGCGTTGATACATGAGGCCCCAGGTTTTCGAACGCGAGTGATTCGCGTTTGACGTGCATTAAGCAAAACGCAAAATGCTCAATTCGCGCCACGCCATTCGCGCCATGCGCACCTCGCAATTCTCGTCATTCGTGCCGCGCCATTCGCGCGTTTCGCGCCGCAGGATGTCTATTCGCGCGTTTGCATTGACATAACATGTAAATCACTCGCGCTTGACGCGCGTGCTGCGTCTGGTGTGAACGCAGCATAGTAACCCAATAACTTCTTCCGTCATCATTATATTTTACAGGAAAGCCTAAACGCTTTCATACATGTGATTTGAATGACGTGAGAGGCGATCTCTCTGCAATCGTTACAAATTTAAGATTAATCTACAAGTAAAATACGTATTAATCTGCAGGTCATGTGTGTTCCGAACTGTGGGTTGTGATCTGTATGAATCACGGATCAACCGTAATCCATTATACCCAGGCCCGGATTAATAATTCAGAGGCCCCTGGGCACAACGTCTTGTAGGCTCCCTACGTTACCTAGCCGCACCCCTATAGTTGAATGAAAAAGATTAATATACTATTTGTTAAATAAAATGAATCTCTAATGTATTGCCCATATACACATACACGTACATATGTTTCTAGTCTACAAAGATTGAACTTATTTTTAACGTATTTAAAGCACACTTTGAAAAATATAAATACTAATACAACTAGGGGGAAATTAATGGATTTTAATGTACTCTTCAAGTTCACTGAAGCAGTACTAAAATATATGTTTAAGGGTATTTTAATGTATAACTTCTACAAACTTATAATGCACATGATTTGGATAACACCTCTCCAATCCAGTTCTAGGTATCTGACTCCTCCATGATAGACACACTTATTAATGATTCCTACTTGTCTTCCTCGTGATGAAGAGTAGGCAAAATCTAAGTGCGGACGGGCTCCTGGGCCTGTGCCCATAATGCCCACTGGTTAATCTGGCCCTGATTACACCCATACTTTAGATGCTCGCTAGGCATTCAATGTTGGTCATCTGACGCCACAACCTAAATCTATATATTTAATCCAAGGTAATCATACAGTCAGAATCTTTTACCGGCTCATACCTATTTTCAACACATCAGGAGCCTCTGGTTGTGAATTCATCATACCTTCATGTTTAATCATATTCTCTCATCTCTGTGTTTCAGGATTCGTCCTCAGCTGGCGAAGGAGAAGATCGAGGGATGCCACATCTGCACGTTTGTGATGCCCGACGAACCGCAGGTGGTTCTGGGAAAAGATAAAGCCTTCACGTATGATTATGTGTTCGATATGGACTCCACGCAGGACAACATCTACTCCAACTGCACCGAGAAGCTGATCGAGGGCTGTTTTGAGGGATACAACGCCACCATATTTGCATACGGACAGGTTTGTGTGGGATTTGTACTTTAAAGGAGACATTTAAAAGAGATTATTTATGCTGAGCACTGTGTGTATGTATGTATGTATGTATGTATATATATATATATATATATATATATATATATATATATATATATATATATATATATATATATATATATATATATATATATATATATATTTTTTTTTTTTTTATTTATTTATGTGTATGTGTGTGAATATATATATATATCTGCTGTTTATGTATTGTCCTAAATGTGAGGGGTATTGATATATCCAGGGATTTCTGATGGCAGGTTGCAGGTTTGGATTGGGCCTGGTTTATTTCTGCATGTGTGTTTCATGTCGTCTCTCGGATCTGTGACCAGTGCAGCATCTGACCTGCATTTCATGGCTGATTTCCTCCGAACAGCAGCTCTGATGTGTGGGTTAATCCCGATTTATCAACATTCCCGCTCGTCTGCCAGACACGCACTGAAAACACGGCAGCAGATGAAACACTGACCTAAGATTATGAAATATAATGACATGTGAGCAACAGTCAACACAGGGGCACACAGATGTATATGAGCAATTCACATTTGTGGTCAAAAAACAGGCAGATGGCCAAAAGGTAGGCAGCAGACAATGTAAATAAACAAACAAAACACAGGATTGGTCAAACGCGGAGGCTAGGCAAGTAAAACGTGCCGGAATGTTCACAGAAACAGTATAACAAGACTCAGCAATGTGTGTGTGTGTGTGTGTGTTTGACAGGTGTATACATAGTCTATGTAATTAGTCCTGAACAGCTTCAGCTGTGTCTGCTTGCAATCATGGCAGATCTAGGCCAGCTGTGTGAGTGAAGTGCATGACTGGAATTTGTAGTCCATATACCGGAGGATTGTTATTAGAGTAGCTATTAGAAATTAGTTATTAGAACTATTATGTTTAAAATATGTTAAAGGAAAATCTCAATTAAACAGCACTCGGAAATATTTGAGAAAGAACTAAAATTTCGGAGGGCTAATCGTTTTGTTTTCAATTTCAGAAGTACAAAACAGCAGAAATTAGCTAGGTTATAAAGCTAATAGATAGCTAATACCATTAGCACTCTTCAAGAGAAATGTTATATGGCAAGAAATACTGATATTGCAATACTCATCGATAATATTGCATATTTTTCCAGTATCGTGCAGCCCTATTGTAGATGATACTATAAAATTGGGTCATATGCAGTTAACATTTTCAAATATTTCCCAAATTATGTTTAACAGAGCGATGAATTTCTCACAGTATTTCCTATAATATTTTTTCTTCTGGAAAAAGTCTTATTTGTCTTATTTCAGCTACAGTAAAAGCAGTTTTACATTTTTTTTAAACCATTTTAAGGTCAATATTATTCGCCCCCTTAAGCAATATTAGTTTTGGATTGTCTCCAGAACAAACCACTGTTATACAATGACTTGCCTAATTACCCTAACTTTACCCTAATTACCCTAGTGAAGCCTTTAAATGTCACTTTAAGCTGAACACTAGTGTCTTGAAGAATATCACGTCTAATATTATGTGCTTTCAGATAAAATAAATCAGTTATTATAGATGAGTTATTAAAACTATCATGATTAGAAATGTGTTGAAGAAATCTTCTCTCTGTCAAACAGAAACCGAGGAAAAGTATACAGTAGGGTGAATAATTCTGACTTCAGCTGTATCCCGTAAGGCTGTGTGTATATAAATGTGTTTCAGACGGGCTCAGGGAAGACGTACACCATGGGCACAGGCTTTGACGTGGCGATCCCGGATGAGGATTTGGGCATCATCCCGCGCGCCGTCACACACCTATTCAAAGGCATTGAGCAGAGACGACAGCAGGCGGCGGAGCAGAGCCGACCCGTACCCGAGTTCAAGATCAGCGCTCAGTTCCTGGAGGTAAAAGCACAGATCATCTGTAGATCCCTAAAGAAGAGTATATGCAGAAGGACTGTGAACCGTATGCCATTATAAAACCACTGCGTTTAAGGTCTGCTTCCTTTAAAAATCAGTGATCTTCACTGCCTGATTGATCTGATATAAAGTGAGCTTTTCAACAAGATGTAAAATACGTCCCTGATGTCTCTAGAGTGTGTGTGTAAAAATTGCAGCTCCAAATACCACACAGGTAATAATGATAACTCTCTGAAACTGACCCTTTTACTCTTTGATCCTAATTGTGGCGTTTTGGTGACTGTCGCTTTAAATGCAAATGAGATTGTGCTCTTTTTCAGAAGAGGGCGGAGCTACAGATGTCTGTGTGTCAGCATAGTGGCAGATTCAAAAACAAGACTAATGTCCTATGCTAATGAGGGAGATATAGTCACTAGTGGGCGGGGCTTTCCCCCTCTGATGACATCATACAAATGGAGAATGTCAATCAAGGTGTTTCTGCAGACTGCTTTCATCAAGTCTGATTATAAACAATACAATTAACACATGTTTACCATTAGAAGCTGCTTATACTCACACACTGCAGACACACAACTGTGTTTAAACCCCTTATCAAAGTGATTTCTGCATAACAGGCCCCCTTTAATTAAAAAAGATTTGTATTTAGTGTATGAATCGTTAGAGAATTGAATAAATCTGTGTCTATAACCTCTCATAGTGTAGTAGCAGATGACAAGACTAAACAAAGACTGTATCTGTGTGTCTGCAGCTGTATAATGAGGAGGTGCTGGACCTGTTTGACACCACGCGCGACATGGAGTCCAGAAAGCAGAAATCACACATTAAAATCCACGAGGACGCCAGCGGAGGAATCTACACGGTCGGAGTGACGACGAGAAACGTCTCCTCTGAGGCCGAGGTGAGAACCGATAATCATTCATTCAATTTCATCCGCTTATCCCGGGCCGGGTCGCGGGGGCAGCAGACTTAGGAGAGAACTCCAGACTTCCCGCTCCCCAGACACTTCCTCCAGCTCCGTGGAGCCTTTCAACTCAGCTCCTTCTTCACCACAACAGACCAGTACACCGACTGCACCGCTGCACCGATCCGCAAACAAAACCCCAAGATACTTGGGGTGAGGACTTTCCTCCAACCTGGAGATGGCAAACCACCTTTTTCCTGTGGAGCACCATGGCCTCGGACTTGGAGGTGCTGGTTCTCATCCCAACCGCGTCACACTCGTGAGCAAACCGCTCCAGTGCATGCTGAAGGTCATGGACCTTCAGAACCGATGTTACACCTGTTAAAGTGACCCTATTTTTTTAGCTTAGCTCAGTATCCTGATAATACGGTGCTCTGTGATAAAAGCTTCAGCAGTTATTGACCAAAAGAAAAGTTGAGACTATCAGAAGCCTGTTCACTGTACTTAAGTGCATGTGTATGTGTGTGTGTGTGTGTGTGTGTGTGTGTGTTTTTCAGATGATGCAGTGTTTAAAGCTCGGCGCTCTCTCCCGCACCACCGCCAGCACACAGATGAACGTCCAGAGCTCGCGTTCTCACGCCATCTTCACCATCCACATCTGCCAGATCCGCGTCTGCGCACCCGCTGACAGCGTGAGTTCAGCTGACATAATCAGCCTCGTTAACCTTCAGTGCTCCAGCGGAGGGGGCGGAGCTAATGGTCTGTTTTGGAGATTGGTGGAATTTTCTGCACGGCATCGTGGGTTATGTTGTTTTTTATACTCTTATTAAACAGATTTTGTTCATGTCTGTGTGTATTCTAGACATTTGTTCTCGGCTAGGTCAACATTAAATGGAAGTTATGATAGTAATTTTTACATATTCGTGAAATATAGTGTGTGAAACTGCTGTAGGGCGGGGCTTGATTGGAAGGTTGTGATTTGCAATTGGTGTATCTCAGATGATTGACAGGTTGGTCCCGTCCTCACATGAGTGAAGAACAATTGGAGAAGGGATGTTTGGTGAAGGAGAAAGTTATTTAGATTCACGTACACATTTAAACTAAATAACAACACGCATGGGTAAATCAATCATTCATCTCCTGCAGTTTCTAGTATCTCCTAAAGTGTCCTTCGTGTTTTTCTCAGCCTCCAGAGCAGGACAACGAGACGGACAATCGCCTGGCCGGCAGCTCGTCTGAGATGGAGGAGTTCGAAACGCTGACGGCGAAGTTTCACTTCGTGGATCTGGCCGGATCAGAGAGGCTGAAGAGAACCGGAGCCACAGGGGAGCGAGCCAAAGAGGGAATCTCCATCAACTGCGGACTGGTCAGAACCACGAGTGTTACTCACTAGCTGTGTTTCCATCCACCTATTTTACGCTCATTTTGGATTATTGCATAACAAAGGCTTGATGAAAATGCCAAGATCTGCATTAAAGCGTATTTGGGTAAACCTCACACTTTTTAATCTCGTCTACAGACCCATCTTTTTAAGCAGCCTTTCTTTTAACAAATTTTAGCATGTTTTTTTTTTCATCATGTTATTTTATATTCACGATGCGTTTGTACCAAGTGTGCCGCAAGCCTGCGTTTGAGTGAAGGTCTCGGCCGTTAGATCGCCCCCTGGGGGCTGGCTGCAGTACAAGTCATAAAGCCCGCCTCCTCCGTGTTAATGAAGGAGACTTGAGCCCAAATAAAAAAATTAATTACACTTGCAATAAAATGTCCCGAAAGATGGTTCAGGTCGATTAAGGCACTGGTTATTGTGCTGAAATAGGTGCAGATCTTCATTTTTGTAAACAGTTTGTTTTTAGCAGTAATTTAATGCTGGGCGTGTTATCGTGATTGACAGCTGTGATTGACAGTTACTCAAAGCAGACCGCCTGAGCTTCAGCAGGAGACTGAAGTGTTATTATTCGATTTCTGTGTTATTTTACCATGACAAAATGAGTTCAGCAGTAAACTACAGTTTCTGACATACATGATCCTGGTGGAACACTGTTTATTCGCTAAGGTCAGGGCTTTTTTCGGGCTTTATTAGTTTGCTGATACACGCCTAGCCACCCAGATAGCAAAACACAGTTCCGGCTAGATTCTCGCCTGCTGGAGACTTACCCCTTAGAGCTCAGACTGACTACCTCTGCTGGACCTACTCTGGATGCCTGGACTCACTACCCGATTCCTGCCCGAGTCAATCGAGCCAGATGCGGCGGCCGAGCGAGCCGGCGCTCCCGCATGCGAGCCGAAATCAGCCCGCGACGCCGCGAGTAGGTTATGCGCTGCGGCTCGGAGCTGGCGCGATTGAATATATAAAACCCTCATATTTGTTAACGTTATTACATCCATTTGTGTTGATAAGACAGCAAACGCATGCTGAGAAGTTCGGGGGGGCTTGGTTGATTTTACATAAAGCGTTTGGTTGGAAGCTCGACTCCGCTCATTTTCGCGGCTCCTCCTCTGGCTCCATCAGACAGTCCTTCTGCGCATGTCAAGGCTCAAATTTCAGCAGTCTTTTGCGATAGTTTGTGCCCTTCAAGCAGGCGTTTTGCCCTCAAGGCGTTCAATGGGAAAAAGGGCTGTCGCGTCGTCCATATTTTTTACAGTCATTGGTTTGTACCTGCATTTAAAATGCTTGTTTGGCAAGGTTTTATTATTGTTTTAATTTGTTCTAGTGTGGCTGTTGGTGCTTGTTGTAAGGCTATCTTGGGTGTCTAGAAAGTCACCATTTACAAATAATATGTATTATTATTATTATTATTATTATTATTATTATTATTATTATTATTATTAAACGTTTTACCTGATAAGAAAACTAATGCAAAAACTACAATGGAAACGCATTTACCGAATAAATTCCATTGTGTGCATCAAAAAAGTGATTTATTTTGAACAGATGCAGTTCAATGTTGCAGCATTTCCACTGTTGGAATATCTAGCCAATTCCACGTTGGTGTTCAATAAGAAAAGGTCTGGAGAGGGTTTTCTTCAATGACAAAAATATTAGTAATCTATTAGATACAAATGAATAATTCGATGACAGAGCATTACATTCAATTACATTCAAGAGGTTCGCAACTAACATACATTTCCTGACTCCAGCATATATACACAACTGATATTAACAGGTGGAGTTTGATGTAACGTCACTGATCAGTCATTCTGCAGGCTCTTGTACCCCCAGACATACTTCCTCTTTCTGCAACGCTTTTCTGCATACCAGAACTGAACAATTACGTGCATCTTCAATATATTTCACAACTTCTACAAAGATCATGCTCCTTGTGACATGTCCAGACAGAATCTGGAACAAACGTTAAATGTATTTGTAATGAAGTTCACGGCCCTTGGGCCGCCGGGAAGAAGGAGGTGGAGAATCGACGCAGGTTTAAATTATTTATTAATAACAGGGACGGCAGCTCCTCACGGAGACTGCCGTCTAAACCAGAACAAACGGACAGCAGCTCCTCACAGAGACTGCCGTCAAACTGAAAGCAAAAATAAAATATGTCCGGGCCCGGTCCTCTCTCGGCTTCCTCTGCCATCGTTCCTCCTTTCATCGTCCAGAGCTCCTTCCGTGGGATCGAAGCAGTTGCGCACCGCAGGTGTATTCACTTACGCGGTGGCCTCACTCCGTTCCCACGGCTCTCGGCCACGCCCCCTCGCCACAGTATTCTTATTCTGCTTTTTCCTCTGGCCAGCAGTTTTTCTAAGGCCGTACTCACACTAGGTACAGTTGCCTTGAACCGGGCCAAAGCATGCTTGTCCCCCCACCCATCTCCAACGACTTACACCACAATCGGGTCTCGGTACGCTTACGTCATCACTGCTGTGCTGTTCAGTAAGCGCTCTCACTCAGCAGCACAGTGGAGATTTCTCTAGTTATATCGTTTTAGTCGTTTGATATGCCGTCAAATATTTCGCCAAACAGATCTTAGAGATGCGGTGACACGCAGTCAGATATTTCGCCGAACAGATCCGCCACTTTTGGCGCTCATAACCAGTCATAAAGCTCTCGTGCTGCAGGAATGAGGAGGTGTTCTGAAGGCGCGCAGCTGTTGTGCAGTGAGGGGTTTGCGTCTTTAATAAACTACAGCAGTTTGCGTTCACTGAACAGTAAGAATGATTAATAAATCCATATGAAACAGTCCCTTAAAAGTCACGTCTCACTTTCAGTTTCGGGCTTTGCCGCGTCTTGCACTCACACTACAAGCGTACTGCGCCAAAGCCAAAGTGAACCACGCTCAGGCCCACCTCTTCCAACCGGGCCAGGGCCGGCCAAGTGAACCGTGCTTGAGCCCGATTCAGCGCACTCACACTTCTCAAACGATCCGGGAAACGGGCACGGTACGAATGGCATAGTGTGAGTAGGCTCTAAAAGTATGCAGCACAGTAAAAAAGAGGAAGCGTGTCTGGTCAAGATGTGCTATAATACAATAGAAAAGACTGATTAATCTGTTGTTAGTCTAAACATTTTTCTAATAAATAAAACACAAAAGTAATACAAATAGATTCCTTTTCTCCAACACCAGCACATTGTAAAAGATCTGAAATGTTGTTTTGCTAATATCTAAAACCCCTCAGCCGTCAGTCCGTCATCACAGTGCACAGTGTATTATTATTATTCTCTCCAGAACTGTCTTGAGCATCTGCGCTCCCAAAGAGCGTCTCACGCCTCCAAAAGCCACCGCGTTGCATTCATTGCATTTCATCTTCATCTTCTGAGGCGCAACTCATTTATTAGACATGAAAAAACACCACAGGGGCTTCTCCAAACACACTTACCAACATTTCTCTGTCTGATATTTGCTCCAGTTAATCAGGAAGGGACCATTCTGTTCTCTCTTGCTCATCGGATGGAGATGCTACTTTTATTGGCAAATCTTGTATGCAATATTCCAGTTGTGTGCATGAATTGAATTCACATCTTTGAATAGATACACAGCTCATGATGAAAACATATCTCACGCAGGAAAATCACCGATTATGTCGAGCACGCACCATATGTCAGTCTTCATCATTTGTTTTGCACTCGTCACTTTAGGGCTTCTGTGCTATGGAAAAATGTTCTTTGGGATAAATAAAGATTCTTCTTGTCTTACTGTGCGGTGAATATAAGTGTTTGTGTGTGCTGTAGTTGGCGTTGGGGAACGTGATCAGTGCTCTAGGGGACAGAAGCAAGCGCTCGACGCATGTGCCTTACCGAGACTCCAAACTCACCCGCCTCCTGCAGGACTCACTGGGCGGAAACAGGTCTGTGTCTCAATACCTGCTGGATTCTCTCATTGCTTTCATTACCGCCATTTTCTTCCCAATCACACACAGCTTGAGCTTGTTTTTCACAACTGCATCATTGTTCGATGTGATGCATGCATGACTGTTGTGTTCTGTTGTATCCCTGCTGAAAAAACAGCTTAAACCAGCTTAGGCGAGCACTTCTTGTGTTATCCGTAAGTAGATCCCGGAGAGCCTCTTTTAACTCTGCTTTTTACAAGACCTTTATAAGATGTCACACAGGCAGAGCAGACGTGTCCCACATGTTTTGGTCGTGCCCCAAGCGTACTCCTTACTGGTCAACCATATTCAATACATTGTCTAAAGTGTGTGAAGTACAGCTAATGCCTAGTTCAGACTGCGTGATTTTAGCCCCGGTTTTGGCTCGCCGACAGGTTTTGAGAAATCGCCGACAAATGCCTGAAATCACAGGCAAATCGCTGCTCGTGCATGCGAGTGACAATCACACAGTATGAACGATCAAAGACGCGATCTGAGAGAATCGCCGATGAGTCGCAGATGCCTGTGAGATATTTGGCATGCTGAATTTCTGGAGCTGTCGGCGATTCAAATCATGCCGTGTGAATTGAGTCTTGACTGAAAATAACATCAGCGATCGCCTACAGCCAATGAGAGAGCAGCATTCACTTGTGTGTGTGTGTGTGTGTGTGTGTATACCTGCTGCAGGCCAGCGGGAGGCTGGGGGAGAAGTTAAAAGCGCTCTTTTTCGGTTTATTTGGACCCACGAAATGGAGAAAAAACTAGTGGAGGTTTGACAGGACTCAGGAGCAACCGTGTCTGTTTGACGTTTCATCCAGAAAGAAATTAGTTTATTATTAACGTTGAGGAGAAATGGTTAATTTCCTTTAAACCCAGGTGAGCAAACATGTACATGTTCTACCCCATTAAAGGCTTCTTTTTCATTATGTAGTTGATAACAAAAGATATACGTTTTTGGCTGTGAGACGTAGTTTGGACGAAGTTGTTGGCGATTCTTCCTATAGTAAAGTCATGCAATGTGAAAGTCCCTGTCACTGATACATCTTGCAGTGTTAACAAAGCAGCGACGAAACGCAAGCCCAGATAGTCATGCAGTGTGAAAACATCTGTGACACGACTACCTTGAAAATCATGCAGTCTGAACTCGGCATAAGCCATGTGCAGGATTTGCTTCGTTTGGCATTCCACCTGACGAACTGAGTCTGACTCAAAGTCAACAAAACATTATAGCCTTTGCATCTTTACTGGCGAATTTTATTGCACTGGAAATCTTTAAATCTACCTAAAGCATCACACTGGCTTCAAGATCTGATGTTATATTTACTCTTGGAAAAAATTCAATATTCAATTAGAGGTGCTAGCAAATTCTCATATGTTTGGCAACCCTTACTATCACATTTCTCAGCTATAAGTGTACTTCCTGGGGAATAATGTGACTGTCTTGTATGTAACTGGAATCTTTTTTCTGTAATCCTCTCGTCTTTCTCTGTCCAGAACCTCAAGCTTCTTGTATGTTAACCTACCGTTCTACGATAGCACAGCATTATCCCTGATCATATCACCTATTACTGTTGTCACTGCTTATTTATGTATTTATTTTTATTTTCTTCTTCTTTCTTATTACTTTTTTAATATCTTTCTTTAGGCAGTGTATGTAGGGTTTGTTGAAGTGGGTTTATATATATATATATATATATATATATATATATATATATATATATATATATATATATATATATATATATATATATATATATATATATAATCTCTGTATAAACAATGTCATTTGTACTTGGCTTAGGCTGGGTGGCTGGTTTTAGCTGGTTGACCAACATGGTTTTAGAGGGGTTTTGGCCATTTCCAAGCTGCTTTCCATCTTGGTTTTAGCTGGTTAGGCTGAAAAATGACCAGCCAATACCAGCTTGATCAGGCATAGCTGGTTTTGGTTGGGCTCCCAGCCTGGCTAGGCTGGTCAAGCTGGTTTTAGCTGGTCATCTCCCAGTCAATACAGTTGAAGTCAGAATTATCTCCCCCCCCCCCCCCCCTGCTTATTTTTTGCTCTAATTTCTGTGTAACTGAGAAGACTTTTTTCAACACATTTCTAATCATAATAGTGTTAATAACTCATCTCTAATAACTGATTTATTTTATTTTGGCCATGATGACAGTACGTACTATTTGACTAGATATTCTTCAAGACACTTCTATACAGATTAAAGCAGGGTTTTTCAAAGTCTAAGACAGTGGGCCTCCCTTTTGACACAACTTATCCATTGCCGCCCCCCCTCCTCCCAAACACGCGCGCGCACACACACACACACACACACAAAATTCTGGAGGTTTTCCTGCTACCTCATCATGCTTGGTTTCAAGGTGTCGCCGAAGTTTAGCGGGTCTCATGCTGTCATTAGCCAAAATATCTTGACAAACCACACATAAAGGTCGTGGTTTATCAGCTGGTCCTGTCCACGTAAATCCTAAACTCAAATACTGATCATCATATCGTCGTCTTTTGGGTTTAAGCCCTGAACTTGAAGGCTTTGAATCGGGGGGGTCTCAGAAACCGATCCATTGTATTAGCAGGCATGTACTTGTATTGGCGGGCTTGCCAAACAGAAGCGAATTCACAGCTATGGCATTCTGGGTAAAAAAGGTTTTCTTATTTTTGACGTTTTTTTTTTTTTAAGCTTTGTTTAATTAAAACGTTTAAAAATTATAAAAAATACATATAACAATTAAACTTAATTATATTTTTATTATATAATATTTTTTCCCGCGCCTCCCCTGACATGCTCTGGCGCCCCCCAGGGGCGGCCCGCCTCACACTTTGAAAACCCCTGGCTTAAAGTGACATTTAAAGACTTAGGGTAATTAGGTTAACTAGGCAGGTTAGGGTAATTAGGCAAGTTATTGTGTAATGATGGTTTGGTATAATGATATATAGCTTAAAGGGGCTAATAATAATATAGTCTATAAAATGGTGTTAAAAAAATTCTAAACTGCTTCCATTCTAGCCGAAATAAAACAAATAAGACTTTCTCCAGAAGAAAAAATATTATCAGACATACTGTGAAAATTTCCTGAATCTGTTAAACATCATTTGGGAAATATTTACAAAAAGGAAAAAAAGGGGGGCGAATAATTCTGAGTTGAACTGTTGGCGAGTGTTCAGCAGTGGTTTTTCTAGGATGATTTAAACACAATCTAAAAGGCAATCAGCATGTTCTCTGTTGTCTCAGTCGGACCGTGATGATCGCCTGCATCAGCCCGTCCGATCAGGACTTCATGGAGACGCTGAACACACTGAAGTACGCTAACAGAGCGCGCAACATCAAGAACAAGGTGATGGTGAACCAGGACCGGGCCAGCCAGCAGATCAGCGCACTGCGGACGGAGATCGCCAGACTGCAGATGGAGCTGATGGAGTACAGGACGGTGAGCTCAAGTTATCCACTGAAGACCTGCTAATAATCGCAGTCAGAGTACGCATGAACCAGCAGCTGTGACTGTTTTTATTTTCATAGAGAAGCAGTTCGTAGAGAAAAGGAATATTAAATGAGAAAACAGTGGGTGTGGCTTGTTTGTCTTACTGCGAGCTGATTGGATGTAGTAAAGTAGGTGTTTCATTGAGAAAGAAACAGACTCCTCCTAACAGACTCCTCCTCCTCACTTGAGAAGGGGCGTGGTTTAGTACATCCATAAACAAACACTATGGCAGTCAGTGTTTACAGGGTTCCAGCTTTGGTCAAAATACTTCTTTAGTTTTCAACAGAATAAAGAAACTCAAACAGGGCTGGAACAAGTGAAGGGAGAGTAAATGATGACGGAATGTTAGTTTTTTTGGGTGAACTGTTTCTGTAAGTGAAATAACATTGAATGTCTTGAATGGTTGTCCTCCAGGGGAAGCGTATGGTGGGAGAGGACGGGCTGGAGAGCATTAATGACATGTTCCACGAGAACTCGATGCTGCAGGTGGAGAACAATAATCTGCGCATGCGAGTGAAGGCTATGCAGGAGGCCATCGACGCTCAGGGCGCCAGACTCACTCAGCTGCTCAGCCAACAGGCCAATCAGCTGCTTGCCAGAGCAGGTACAGTAGTTCATGGTCAATCAATCAATCAATCAATCAATCAATCAATCAATCAATCAATCAATCAATCAATCAATCAATCAATCAATCAAATAATTAGTCAATCAATCAATCAATCAATCAACCAATCAATCAATCAATCAATCAATCAAATAATTAGTCAATTAATCAATCATTGATTTAATCAATCAATAAATCAATCTTTCAGTGAGTCAGTCAATTAATTAATCAGTCAGTCAGGTAGTCAATCAATTAATCAATCAATCAATCAATTAATAAATAAATCAATCAAATGATAAGTCAATCAATGAATTAGTCAATCAATGAATTAGTCAATCAATCAATCAATCAATCAATCAAATAATTAATTAATTAGTAAATTAATCAATCAGTGATTTAGTCAATCAATAAATCAATCTTTCATTGAGTCAGTCAGTCAATTAATCAATCAGTCAGTCAGTCAATCAATCAATCAATCAATCAAATGATACGTCAATTAATCAATTAATTTATCAGTCAATGAAATAATCAATTAATCAGCCAGTCAGTCATTCAATTAATTAGTCAATCAATAATTGATTCAGTCGGTCAATCAATTAATGAATCAATCAGTGATTCAATCAATCAATCAATCATTCAGTGAGTCAGTCAGTCAACTAATCAATCAGTCAGTCAGTCCATCAATTAATCCATCAATTTATTAGTCAATTAATCAATCAATTAATCAGCCAGTCAGTTAATCAATTAATGAGTCAATTAGTCAATGAATCATTCAGTCAATCAATTAATGAGTCAATGAGTGATTCAGTCGCTCAGCCTATCAATCATTCAGTGAGTCAGTCAGTCAAGTAATCAATCAATTAGTCAATCAATCAATCAATTTAGAAGTCAATTAATCCATTGATGTATCAGTCAATAAATCAAATAATCTGACAGTCAGTCAATTAATGAATTAGTCAATGAGTAAATGAATCAGTTGGTCAATTAATTAATGAGTCAGTCAGTCAATCAGTGATTCAGTCAATTAATCAGTCAGTCAATCAATCAATCAATCATTCAGTAAGTCAGCCAATCAATTAATCAGTCAGTCAATCAATTAATGATTCAGTCAGTCAAAAAAATCAATCAATCATTCAGTGAGTCAGTCAGTCAGTCTATCAATTTAGAAGTCAATTCATCAATCAAATGTATCAGTCAATGAATCAGTCAGTCAATTAATTAATCAATCAATCAATTGATAAGTCAATTAATCAATAAATCAGACAGTCAGTCAATTAATGAATCATTCAATTAGTCAATGAATCAGTCGGTCAATTAATGAGTGAGTCAGTCAGTGATTCAGTCAATCAATTTATCAATCAATCATTCAGTGTGTCAGTCAGTCAACTAATCCATCAAATAATCAGCAAGTCATTAATCAATTAATCAGTCAATCAGTTAATCAGTCAGTCCATCAATTAATTAATCAATCAATCAAGTTAGAAGTCAAATAATCAATCGATTTTTCAGTCAATGACTCAATCAATTAAGCAGCCAGTCAATCAATTAATTAGTCAATCAGTCAATGAGTCAGTTGGTCAGTCAATCAGTGATTCAATCAATCAATCGATCGATCATTCAGTGAGTCAGTCAGTTAATTAATCAGTCAGGCAGCCTATCAATTAATCAGTCAGTTAATCAATCAATCAAGAGGACTGTGTGTCGTGAATATTGTCTTGTTTTGCAGGTGAAGGCAGTGAGGAGATTGGAAATATGATTCAGAATTACATCAAGGAGATCGAGGATCTGAGGTAAAACAGCCCTGGAGAAGATTATCTCTCATACAGTTGCATGTATTTGAATATATTTGCTGCCAAAACATGGTAGCAGTGAACTAACATGCTAGTGATGCCTTAAAAAATGCAATCTATGTTAGCGACATACCCAAATACACTAATGATGGGAATAATATCTTAAACAAATCGACGTTTATTCAATGAAACAATTACATGTAGTATACTTCTGTAATCATCAGGGATTGAAATATGTTTGAGTGTTCTAGGAAAACATGCTAGGAATTTGTTAAACATTGCTGTTATGATTTAAAAGATGTTAAATAAAGGGGAAGAGGAGTAACATTAATTTTTGGGTGAAACACATAAGCAACCACACAACATCAATAAATGAGGGACAAAACCAAGACCAGCTAAATGCAATACGTGATTTTATTTACAAAAATAGTGATAATAATGAATGCCAAAAAAAATGTATATAGAAAGATTCTTGAATATTTACAAAGAGACATTGAATTTCACAGATAACAAATGACATAAGACGTTTGACCAGATATGGGAGAGTTGGAGAAATGAGACGCGGGCGGCATCCAAACAATCAAAATAAATAAAACAAAAACAATCTATTTGGCCCAATCTCTACCCTATCTATCCAAAATAAAAATGCAGAAGTTATTGAAAAGAATCTTCGCGTCTAATACGCACTACCTAACCTACGCTGATCTCTGATGGGAAAACAAAAAGTACAGTGGGTGGAGCACGCCCCTTACCTAGTGTGTCTAATACAGAGATATTCAAACTACTTGTGCACAATGTCGCACGACATTCTTACCTGTCCCACTCTCCAACCTCAGATGCGCATGACATCGACGGTAGACAAATGGAGAACAAATAACGGACAGATACCAAATTGTAACACACAGTAGACATATATCAAAAAACACAGACACACAGCACAACACAGAAATTCAGGGCCTCCAGAGTAGCGTCCTGTCACCACTTTTATGCCACGGTGGCAGCGGCTGGATTGGAGACCTTGGATGACGTCAAGGGGGGCACGGCAAACAGCTGGGCAGCGGTAGCCAATCAGAGCCACTGTATAGGTGGAAGCGGGAGAGAGGTAGAGAGCAAGCGAGCACAGAGAGAGAGAGAGAGAGAAAGAAAGAGACTAGCGAGAAAAAAAATATATATATAAATAATAATTACGCAACACAGAAATGTACAGGAATGTAACAATTGCTAACTTGCCAGCAAGAACAAAGCATCATGCAATATTCATGCTAGCAACATGTTTTTTGCTAGCATGATTTAACAATGTGTTAAAACATGCTAAACACATGCTAGCAACATTAACTCCAAATGTTAAAGATACGAGCAAGTGAACTAATATGCTAGTAATGTGTTTAAACATGCAATACATGTTAGCAGCATGATAAACGTGTTAGCAGCATACTCAAATGTGCTAATATCATGGTAATGATACATTAAAACTTGCTAACAACATGTTATAGATTATTCAAACATGTTTGTGTGTGAATTCATCAGCACTCTACAACATGACAGCAATGTTGTCATGCGAGCAGAGTGAAACTAAAACGTAATATGTACGCTAGGGATATGCTAGCATAATGCTTAATCGTACTAACAGTATTTAGACATATTACTAACATGATAGAACATGCTAACATTGTGTTAAAACATGCTACATATTAGCAAGTTGTTAAAACAAACCAAAAGTTCAAACAATTAGCTAAAACATGCTAGCAACACAAATGCTCAAGTATGAGTGGTGTGTGTGTTTCAGAGCCAAACTTCTGGAGAGTGAGGCGGTGAATGAAAACCTGAGGAGAAACCTGACCCGAGCGTCCAGCCGTCCTCAGTTCTACGGGGCGTCCGGAAGCTTCTCTACGGCCCTGCTGGGACCCGACCCGAGCCAGGAGACCAGCGACATCATCGAGATCGCTAAAAAAGACTTGGAGAAGCTCAAGAGGAGGGAGAAGAAGAAGAAGAAGAGGTGAGCTGCAGCTCTGCCGCGTCTGTCTCTCATCTCAAACTGAGGTCATGTGTTGTGTATCATCACGGTCTGCAGAAACGCTTTGATTGACATTCTCCCTTTGTATGATGTCATCAGAGGGGGGAAGCCCCGCCCACTAGTGACCATCTCTCCCTCATTAGCATATGATGCTAGTCTTGTTTTTGAATCTGCCACTATGCTGACACACAGGCTTTTGTAGCTCCACCCTCTTCTGAAAAGAGCACAATCTCATTTGCATTTAAAGCGACAGTCACCAAAACACCACAATCAGGATCAAAGCCTAAATTCCCCTAACATCTTGTAAAAGATGAGTCCCCTTTAAATCAAAAACTAGGAGAGAAACCAGTGAAGGTGATTGTTTTATGTCCTTTAGAATATGTTGGATGTGAGATGTGTTTGGGTCAGCATCCCTGCTGAAAAATCCAGCTTAAACCAGCTTAGGCTGGTTGGCTTGCTTTAGCTGGTTGACAAGCCTGGTTGTAGAGGGGTTTTGGCCATTTCCAGGCTGGTTTCCAGCCATTTTCAGCCTGGTCTTAGTTGGTCAGGCTGCAAAATGACCAGCTAAATCCAGCTAAAACCAGCTTGACCAGCCTGGTTTAAGCTGGACATAGCTGGTTATGGCTGGGCTTCCAGTCTGGCTAGGCTGGTCAAGCTGGTTTTAGCTGGTCATCTCCCAGCCTGATCAGCTAAGACCAGGCTGAAAATGGCTGGAAACCAGCCTGGAAATGGCCAAAACCCCTCTAAAACCAGCCTGGCTGACCAGCTAAAACCAGCCACCCAGCCCAGGCTGGTTTAAGCTGTTTTTTTCAGTAGGGGCAGCAGCCGGCTGTGTTACTAACGTGTGTCCGCTGGCTCTCTGTGCTCTCTTTGACCTCCGACCGCTTCAGACTCCAGCAGCTGCTGGCCGACAAGAGAGATGAGGATGAGGACGAGGAGGAAGAGGTGGAGGAAGACAGGTTTGTCTCTCTTTCGCCTCTCCGTCCTCTGAAATTACCCACAATCCCCTGCGCCTCACCTCCGCCTGCTGCCTTCACGTGACTTTAACAGCGCAGAAGAGCCCACTAGACTTTATTCATGCATTTGATTTGTTTGTTTGTTCATTTTTTTTACTTATTTGACAAAAATATACTTCAGATGAATGAGAGAAACGTTTATTCACATTCATTTGCTTCATTCTGTCTTCATGAGCAGTAAATATTAACATTTTCATAGTCATTTTCGGTTCTGAGTATTGAAACTGGCCTTTTGCTGCCGTCTCTTTACATATTTAAAGGACATCATGTAAATTACAGTTTACTGTGTTATTTACGGTGGAGAACAACCTTTAATTTGCAAACTTTTTGACAATTTTATAACCGTCGATTTCCCGCTAGCATTTAAGGGCTGTAGAGAGCGTTCTTAAACAGCGCTGATTTGCTGTTATATTCACCAGTGCTCAACAGAAATGACTGTGATTGGCACTGAAGGTCATCGAACTCACCGAACTCACACACTCTCTCGGGCAAGCGCTGCAGCCATCTACCCATATGAGAGCAGTGCTGGTCGGACTGTTCATCAAGCATCTCCCGCTGGATCTAATCTCACAATATTTGCTAAACGTGATATTTAATTAATCTTGTTGTCTATATCTAGCAACATATTCCCCGACTTTGCTCTTTTGAATCGATTACTTGTTCACAGGTAACGTGTTCTGGCTATTACATTGCATAATAGGAATCACCAATAAAATTAAACAGCAACCGTCTCATTCGTTTCATCTCTAAACGTTCGAATTCAACAAAATTGGCATTTTTTCAAGTCGCCCAATCTAATGCGAATGCACACTCGCAAAGATCGAGATCACGACACCAGCCTCATTTGTGGCTGTTCTACACATTATCATCCTCTGGATGATGATCGTCTGATCGCGCTGCTCTTCTGAAGTAATTCACAACTTGGTCTTGATGGTGAATCTCCTCCAGAAATGACGAGACTTTACACGTTTGTGGACGAGGAGTAGTTGCCGTGTCATGTACCTTGCGTTCGTTTCATACAGGTTACAATACCAAAAACTTTTGTTTTTAGGTGTAGTTGGTTCATTTAAAAGTCCAGATGTCAAGCTTTATGTGGATGTACTTCTTATGTCTGTGAAGCAAGTTTTCGATGAGATCCAGTGCATTTGTTGACCACCAAACTGTCGTAAAAGCACACGTCTAGTCTGAGCTCCTCCCCAGGAGAATTGTCAGTCTATAGCGATCGCTGATTGGCACCTGTACTAGAAGGCGGGGCTTCATTCGACATATTTACTAGTGACACGTCTAGTGTATTCTATAGGCTTTGGTTCACTGTAGTTAATACAGTATACTGGGGCATTCATTAATAAAGAGTTGTCCATACTATAATACATACAGTACAGTACAGTTAGTATGGTACAAATACACTAGTGTTTACAATATAATAGTACAGTATTTTTGTTCAATTGGGCAGATCATGATCTAATCTAAAGCACAGTATTAAAAATTGCAAGATATTTCAATAAATAGATGTCAGTTAAAAAAAGTCCAGTGGTTCATCATATCTGTCATAACATCATCTTTCCTTCATAATTTTCTTTTTTTTCTGATAATCCATGCTGCATATTTAAAACAGAGATTTTTGAACACTACACACAATAGATTTTTGATTTAGCATTATTCTCTTGCAGTGCCAACAAAGACGAAACGCAAGAAGATGGAGAGCAGAAGACTGAGAAAGAGCAGTCAGAATCGACCAATCAGGAGCCAGAGATGGTATGACTGACAGCCGGCTCACTCAATCAGAACACAGCTTGATGGATCTGTCTTTGATGTGTGACATTTTTTGCTCAGGAGGCCAGTGATCGTGAGGAAGGCGATGGAGAAGAAGATGAGGAAGATGTGGAGGAAGAGGAGATGGAGGCTGAGGAGAGCTCTGAAGAGACGGACTCTGAGCTCGATGAGAAGGGTAATAATGCAAAACCAGCACTCTAACTTAAGAGGATTCATTAAATGACTGACCGATGTTGAAAATGAACCTTTAAGCTACATAGTAAACGTGCTAAACATTCTTTCAAAGCACTATATATGAAATATTAGATAATATAATTACTATAATTAGAAATATAATGCAAAAATCACATTTTTAAGGGCTCTTTAAAACATTAAATCTAATTTTAAATGTAGCAAAATTATTTTAATAAAGCATTCTCTATTTGTCTTAACTAATAAAGTACAAAAACAGCGAATAACAGAGGAAAAATGCATGCGTTTATTCATTATATAGACAAACACACTCATTTATTTACTATATAGACAAACACACTCATTCATACACTATATGGACAAACACACTTATTCATTTACTATATAGACAAACACACTCATTCATTTACTATATAGACTAACACACTCATTCATACACTATATAGACAAACACACTCATTCATACACTATATAGACAAACACTCATTCATTTACTATATAGACAAACACACTCATTCATTTACTATCTAGACAAACACACTCATTTATACACTATATAGACAAACACACTCATTCATTTACTATATAGACAAACACACTCATTCACACTCATTCATTTACTATATAGACAAGCACACTCATTCATTTACTATATAGACAAACACACTCATTCATTCACTATATAGACACACTCATTTATTTACTATATAGACAAACACACTCATTTATTTACTATATAAACAAACACACTCATTCATACACTATATAGACAAACACACTTATTCATTTACTATATAGACAAACACACTCATTAATACACTATATAGACAAACACACTCATTCATTTACTATATAGACAAACACACTCATTCATTTATATAGACAAACACACTCATTCATACACTACATAGACAAACACACTTATTTATACACTACATAGACAAACACACTTATTCATTTACTATATAGACAAACACACTCATTTATACACTACATAGACAAACACACTTATTCATTCACTATATAGACAAACACACTCATTCATTCACTATATAGATAAACACTCATTTATATATGATAAAGACAAACACAAAGATTCATTCACTATATATACAAACACACTCATTCATACGCTATATAGACAAACACACTAATTTCTACATTATATAAACAAACTCATATCTACATAATAACATTGTGAGGGCACAATCTGTAATTGAAACAACTTTAATATGAAAATTACATTTGTTTAGAAGTAATAAACTACAATAAATTGATATATATATATATATATATATATATATATATATATATATATATATATATATATATATGTATATATATATATATGATATAGCACACATAACCAGGTTTAAGCCGCTCTTTGTTTTATTTTGACCTTTATGTAAATTTAGCTCTAAATGGATGTGTGTGTGTTTTTTTGGTGTTGTTCAGAGGACTTCCAGGCGGATCTGGCCAACATCACATGTGAAATCGCGATCAAGCAGAAGCTGATCGACGAGCTGGAGAACAGTCAGAGGCGTTTACATACACTGAAACAACAGTACGAACACAAGCTCATGATGCTGCAGAGCAAGATCCGCGACACACAGCTGGAGAGAGACCGCGTTCTGCACAGCATGGGTGAATAACCGAGAAAAATACACGTATTCCTTATATAGACAAACATTCATATGTACACTATATAACAAACACACTCATTCATTCACTATATAGACAAATACACTCATTCATTCACTATATAGACAAACACACTCATTCATATACTATAGACAAACACACTAATTTATACACTATATAGACAAATACACTAATTTATTCCTTATATAGACAAACATTCATCTGTACACTATATAACAAATACACTCTTTCATTCTCTATATAGACAAATACACTCATTCATTCCTTATATAGACAAACACTTATTCATTCACTATATAGAGAAACACACTTATTCATTCCTTATATAGACAAACACACTCATTCATACACTACATAGACAAACAAACTCTTAATTTAAATTAGTATTTGGAATTTTTTTTATGCATATTATGACCTGTTATTCTATGTTTCCTTCTGTCCTGTTGGTGTTTAAGGCTCGGTGGAGTCGTGCTCTGAGGATAAAACCAAGCGGATAAAAGCCGAGTACGAGAAGAAGCTCAGCGTCATGAATAAGGAGCTTCAGAAACTGCAGGCGGCACAGAAAGAGCACGCTCGCCTGCTGAAGAACCAGTCACAGTATGAGAAACAGCTGAAGAAACTACAGCTTGACCTGACAGAGATGAAGAAGACCAAAGTAAGAGACCGAGCACCACTCTACACACACTCTCCATTACAGCAGATGGTCAACAGCACCACCCGGTGGTCAAAACACACATACAAACACACACATGCACAGCTCTGCAAACATAAAAAAGATCTGAAACCAGAGTTTGTGTGTGCGTGTGTGTGTGTGTGTGTGTGTGTGTGTGTTTGTGTGTTCATGACTGTGTGTTAATGTGTGTGTGTTCAGGTGCGTCTCATGAAGCAGATGAAGGAGCAGCAGGAGAAGAGCAGAATGGCTGAATCCCGCAGAAACAGAGAGATCGCCACGCTCAAGAAGGACCAGCGCAAACAAGAGGTGCATGATGGGAAACAGCAGTGATGCGTGTCTGTGTGTGTGTTTTATGTGTGCGTGACGGTGTGTGTTTGTTTTCCGTGTGTGCAGCATCAGCTCAAACTGCTGGAGGCACAGAAGAGACAACAGGAGCTCATCCTGCGCAGGAAAACCGAGGAGGTCTATTATCACACACACTTTTACTGATTTTACTACACTGTATAGACAAACACACTCATTCATTCACTATATAGACAAACACACTCATTCATTCACTATATAGATAAACATTCATTCACTTTATAGATAAACACACTAATTCATACACTATATAGACAAACACACTCATTTCTTAACTACACTATATAAATATATAATATTTATAAACACACTCATACATTCACTATATAAACACACTCATTTAGTCACTATATAGACAAACACACTCATTTATTCACTATATAGACAAACACACTCATTCATGCACTATATAGACAAACACACTCATTTATTCACTATATTGACAAACATACTCGTTTATTCACTATATAGATAGACTCACTCATTCATACACTATATAGATAAACACACTCATACATTCACTATATAAACACACTTTTTCATTTACTACATGGATAAACACTCGTTTATTCACTATATAGACAAACACACTCATTCACTATATAGACAAACACACTCATTCACTATATAGACAAACACACTCATTCATACACTATATAGACAAACACACTCATTCACTATATAGACAAATACACTCATTCATACACTATATAGACAAACACACTCATTCATTCACTATATAGATAAACACTCATTTATTCACTATATAGATAAACACTCTCATTCATACTCTGTATAGACAAACATATTCATTCATTATATAGACAAACACACTCATTCATACACTATATTGATAAACACTCATTCATACACTATATAGACAAACACACTCATTCAATCACTATATAAACAGACACATTCATTCACTATATAGATAAACACTCATTCATTCACTATATAGACAAACACACTCATTCATTCACTGTATAGACAAACACACTCATTCATACACTATATAGACAAACACACCCATTCATTTACTATATAGATAAACACTAGCATTCATTCACTACATAAATAAACACATTCATTCACTATATAGATAAACACACTCATTAATTTACTATATAGATAAACATTCTCATTCATTCACTATATAATAAAAACATTCATTCACTATATAGACAAACACACTCATTCATGCGCTATATAGACAAACACACTCATTCAATCACTATATAAACAGACACACTCATTCATTCACTATACAGATAAACACTCGCATTCATTCACTACATAAATAAACACTCTTTCATTCACTATATAGATAAACACACTCATTCCTTACAATAAGGTTTCATTAGTTCACGTATTTACTAACATGAACTAAAAATTTACAATGCCTGTTCTATTATTAATGCATTATTAAAATGCTTGTTAACATTTGTTAATGCACTGAGTTAACATGAGCAACTGAATTTCCATTAACTAATGTTAGCTAAGAAGAACAAAAACTGTAATAAATTTATTCTTCATTGTTAGTAAATGCATTAGTTAACATTAACAAATATAATCCTATTGTGAAGTGTTGCGTGTAAATGTACGACATTATCAGTGGAAAAATCTATGAATATACTCTGCAGTTTTCTGTTTTGTTAATTCACAGATAGTGGTTTTACTGTAGTGTTTCTGTGTCTCTGTCAGGTCACAGCTCTGAGGCGGCAGGTGCGGCCCATATCAGGAAAGGTCACCCGAAAGGCCAATCTGTCGGAGCCGAACTTTGACCTTTCTCACAGACCACCTGCAGGTCGCACATACGGTTCAGGAGCACCTAATGGAACCAGGTACAACTGCACATGCCTTATTCACACTGTATATATATATATATATATATATATATATATATATATATATATATATATATATATATATATATATATCCTAAATTCTTGAATGTGACAGGGAAACACTTATTAATTCATTTTCTATATAGACAAACACAATCATTTATTCACTATTTAGACAAACACACTCGTTACCTTACTATATAGACAAACACACTCATTCATTTACTGTATAGACTAACACGCTAATTCATTCACTTTATAGACAAACACACTCATTCATTTATTATATAGACAAACACACTCATTTATTTACTGTATAGACTAACACGCTAATTCATTCACTATATAGACAAACACACTCATTCATTTATTATATAGACAAACACACTCATTCATTTACTGTATAGACTAACACGCTAATTCATTCACTATATAGACAAACACACTCATTCATTTATTATATAGACAAACACGCTAATTCATTCACTGTATAGACAAACACACTCATTCATACACTATACAGATGAATCCATTCATTTGTTAATATATAGACAAACCGATGTAATAGTTGACCACAACATATTTCTTGCATTTGTTGGTTTTTGGATGATTCTTTGTCTGCTGAAATTAATTAGTTCATTCTAATAAGTTTGCTTTTAATATTTGAGGACAAACATAATTCACACAAAGCATCATGGGATATAGGAAAAAGATCATGCATGTGATGGAAAATCATTCCTTTTAGATTGTACCATCGCAGAGCAGCGGGGATATATTCCACCCGAGTGGCTCGTGGGAAATGGCAGAGTCTGGAGCGCCGGATCTCCGACATCATAATGCAGAGAATGACCATTTCCAACATGGAGGCTGACATGAATCGCCTACTGAAGGTACAAATGAGCAGTTTTGGGCAAAGTTACTTTTTAAAGTACTTAATATATAAATGCACGATTCTGGCTAAAATGAGTATCACGATCTTTTTGCTTGAAATAAAGATCACGATTTTCTCACGATTCTGTATATGTAAAATAAAGGTATGGTAAAAACATACATATGGCTCAACATTTATAATAATATTATGTGTAGGTCTACTGGTTTTTATAAATAATTCTATTCTGCTTTTAAAAATTCTGATGTTGAATTATTATGTTTGAGATATATGCTTGCAATCTGTCATATTAGACAATTTTATTCACTGGTAAAATCAGACATTTGCCATTATCAGATTATATTCAGCAATATATAGTAGAGTAGTTATACTGACATTGCAAACATTTATTTTCATGCACAACTGTGGGTTCACTATAAAAGAAAAAACATATCAAATGCTTGCTGTAATCATAACTCTAAAATGCGATATGATCATTTAAATGAAGTGCACACTTTCGGTTTCATTTTGACTGCTAAGTGCTTGTTCATACTTCACGCGCGGCTCCCAAACGATCACTCTGTGCCACAAACGGAATATTTTTTGCAACGGTGTTACCTTATTATACCTTTTAAATACAGTATGTGACTCATTCAACATCATTTGAAGGTGTCAATGTCACTGAGCAGGCGGTGTGTGAAACAATGAAAAGACTCGTGCAGTCGCCTTTGCTTCTCCCCTGAACTTAAAAATATGATTGGCAGAATCGTAGAAATGCTGGATTAAGATCGTCTAGGGGGTCAAATTGAGATTGCGATCTTATAACGATTAATTGTGCAGCTCTAATATATATATAGGATATATATATATATATATATATATATATATATATATATATATCCTGTCAGGAGTTTTAAATATAGTAATTTGTCTGAGTTGTGTCAAATTTTAATATTAACAATATTTTATATATATATATATATATATATATATATATATATATATATATATATATATATATATATATATATACAGTTAAAGTCAGAATTATTTGCAGAATTATTATTAGTATTTTGTCTTTACTTTTTCCAATATTTCCCAAATGAAGTAGAACAGAATCAGCAATTTCTCACAGTATTTCCTATAATATTTTTTCTTCTGGAGAAACTCTTATTTATTTTATTTCGGCTAGAATAAAAGCAGTTCCTAATTCTTTTTAAAGGCATTTTAAGGTCAATATTATTAGCCCCCTTCAGCAATATTAGTTTTGGATTGTCTCCAGAACAAACCACTGTTATACAATGACTTGCCTAATTACCATAACTTTACCCTAATTACCCTAGTGAAGCCTTTAAATGTCATTTTAAGCTGAACACTAGTTTCTTGAAGAATATCTAGTCTAATATTTTGTGCTGTCATCATGACAAAGAGAAAAGAAATCAGTTATTAGAAATAAGTTGTTAAAACTATTATGATTAGAAATGTGCTGAAGAAAATCTGCTCTCTGTAAAACAAAAAAAATACTGACTTCAACTGTATATCGCAGAGAAATAAAAGAACGCAATGTCAGATTTTTTCGATATACCCTACTTGTAATGCACTTTTCGTACTAAACATTGTCAGATCTGTGTAAGTAGAGCTGCGTGCAGAGCTTCTGATGATTTAGTTGTCGTCCACAGCAACGGGAAGAGCTGACGCGGCGGCGGGATAAGATCAGCAGGAAGAGAGAGCGACTGCTGGCGGACGACCCCGAGGTGGAAAAACACCTTCAGCCAGTGAACGAGGAGCTGGAGTCACTGCTGGCCAACATCGACTACATCAACGACAGCATCTCCGACTGCCAGGCCAACATCATGCAGATGGAGGAGGCCAAGGTCACAGCAACACCAGCACCCATTTCACTCGTTTTCCTTCATCTCAGTCCCTTATTAAGCAGAGGTCACCACAGCAGAATGAACTTGTCACACCTGTTGCAGTGCCCTAGTTTGGACACTTGAGGGCACTAGTTTTTATGTCACGTGTGGGGGAGAATCACACAACGCAAAAAATCCAAGTGCAGCAATTTATTATAACAAAGACTAAGGTTTCCAAAAAGACAAAGTTTTCCAAAACTTGCACAGAACTATAAACAGGATGCAAATCTAGTCCAAACGAGAGAACAAGCAAAACATCCAAAAACGAGTAAATACGAAAAAACAGGGTAGGAGTGCTAAAAAGTGCTAACGAAAACAAACACAAAACAGAAATCCAAAAATTATTATTATACAAAAACTAGATGACCAGACGTAAGGCGCTAACAAAATCCTATAAGGCCACTAAAACAGAGAACAAGAGGGTTTATAAAGACAGGACTAAATTAACAAACACCAAACAGCTGTAACATAACACAATCAGTAATACACAGGATTATGGGTAATGAAGTGAAACTACAAAACAAACTAGTGCCCTCAAGTGTCCAAACTATTGCACTGCAACAGGTGTGACAGAACTGCTAAGCATTCCAGCATATGTTTTAGTCAGCGGATGGCCTACCAGCCGCTTCCCTGTACTGGGAAACACCCATAAACACTCATTCACACACACACACTCATACACTACGGCCAATTTAGTTTATTTAATTCACTTAGAGCACTTGTGTTTGGACTGTGAGGGAAACCGCCAGCATTTTTGCAGATCTTTTCATGAATTTGACAGGCTTCTGAATATTTTATATATAAAACAAATAAAGGACCGAGCCTCTGCTTATAAACAAAAAACTGCGTATTTTTATCTCCATGGGTTTATGTTTTATCACCACTCAAATGCATGTAGGTTTCATCAAAAATGCAGTATTTCTTGCAAAAAACAGACCAAAAACATAATAAAATAAAATATATAAAATACTATATATAATATAATATACAAATAACTCATTCTGGACATGTGCTAGGGCTTCCCTTACCGTAATTATTGGTATTGCAGAAGCACACAGACAGAACTCTGCAGTATGAATGCAACAGCATTGACTGCGTGGAGAAATAAAACAATCATGTCAATATTAAAGATTTTTTCCCATCCTTTAAATATAAAATTGCAGCTTTTGGCATCAAAAAGACATGTTAGGCATTGTCAAGTAAAGAAAAATGTGTAACTTTTGTGCCAGCTGCCATTAGAACTTCATACACAGGGATTTGAGTATGAGTAGGGTTAATTGTGTTGTTTTTTAATGCGACTGTTGATATATCTCATGATAAATATATATTGTGTAAATGTAATTATGTGGTGAATCCAAAAGAAAGTCAGTCAATTTATGACAGGGGTTTTCAAACTTTGGGTTGTGACCCACTAGTGGGTTGCACAGTGAACAAAGGTGGGTCGCGCATCGTCCATAGCTGCAGCTGTATTTACATTGCGGTGAATCAAAACCAGTACGATTGACGGCAAAAACTCGAAAACCTCTAACCCTAACAAGATCTAAAGTGTGTTTCCTACAAAAAGACAAAGCTGGTTATGTTTCACAGCTGTCTTTTTCTTTTTTTTTCGCTCGACATTACGAGCACTGCCCCGTTTGAGCTCTCGCAATCTGCGTGTAGCCAGTAGAGCTTGCTCTGAGCGGTGCTCTCAGTAAGGGACCGTCTGAAAAGTGCTTCTTTTTTTTTTTTTTTGCTCCGTCCTGCGTGTTTTATTTTAAACACACCTAATTTTCTCTTAAATGAGCACAAATAGTTACTAAAGTAGTCGAATGCTTCATTATAGATCTGTGCATTCGTACATTAACACCAATCAAACAAAGCACAATGAGAGATTCATTTGCTGCTCTTCACTAAATAACTACAGTAACTTTAATCCAGGGGTCACCAACATGTAATAAATGTAACACCAGGTAGCCGGCGAGAATCACATGTGTTGCCCACAGGCCTGTTCTAAAAATAGCTCACCATAGCGCCACTTACCAGTAAGCTTCATCTAATATAGAAGTAATCATTTAAAAATGTAAATATTTGCAGAGATCTATAAAAATAAAGTGTTGCACATTTATACATTAAATACAGGGTATTTCCGACCCTGTTAAATCATTGTTGATAACTTGTGAGAATCATTAACATGATCAGTGTCTTCACATGGATGAATATCATTAATTATTACCAAAAACATAAAGTATATTTAAAAGTAAATTGAGCAAATTTGTTATTTGAGAAGTGTTTATCAAACTGGTAGCCCTCCACATTAATCGGTACCCAAGAAGTAGCTCTCAGTTTCATAAAGGTTGGTGACCCCTGCTGTAATCAACATGCAAATACAATTAAAAGTGAAGTAGATTTTATAGCTTTATTTAATTTCTGGATAGGCCATTGATTTTAATAAGCTAAACCTTTTATTTTATTGTTAATATTTTCTAATGTTTGCTATGTATTCTATCATTTGAAGCTATTTGTTGTCCAATATTTTTTACATCCCAACGTTGACAGATTGCCAATCAATAAATAGCTATAGTGCTATCTGTTAGTTTTGACGTCAGCTGATGTTATGGAAGGGCATAGATGTTATGGAAAACAGTAATAGTAATGTAAATACCCCCATCATTCCCTCCTCAAGCAAATGTGTAAATATTAGATCAATTCAGTAATAATGTTAACTGCATTTGCATATTTATCTGACGTTTTCCCAGCTTGTAGTAGTCGATCAAAAAGCGATTTAGTTTCTTATGACTTTACACTAGCAGTGGAATTTACTGTGATGTGACGGGGCTTGATCATAATCCAGGGGCTTGATCAAAAGTCTCTTTCAACAAAAAAATGATCAGAGTCACAGCCAGCATCCCACAAAAAGCACTTCCAGCCTCATTTTGTGCATTTCAAATCGCAAAATCCAAAAAGCCGCACACCGTATATTTTTGACTGCTTTGAATGGAGACATTTTTCCATATTAAAATATTATGGCGGGTCTTGAGATTGAATTACTTACCTGTGTGGGTCCCGGAATAAAAAAACGTTTGGGAATCCCTGATCTATCAGACTTTACTGTTTGTTTTTCTCCTGTAGGAGGAGGGCGATGCTGTCGATGTCTCGGCTGTGATCAGCTCCTGCACTCTGGCCGAAGCTCGATTCCTTCTGGACCATTTCATGTCGATGGCCCTCAATAAGGTCTCCAGCTGACAGTCTCATTATTAATAACGAGCTATGATGTTACCGATAATCACCGACTTTTAAAGCTATAGCACGTGTGGTGTTCATCCTTCAGGGTCTTCAGGCAGCTCAGAAGGAGTCTCAGATAAAGGTAATGGAGGGACGGCTGAAGCAAACCGAGATCAACAGTGCAACCCAAAACCAGCTGCTCTTCCACATGCTGAAGGAGAAGGCAGAGTTTAACCCGGAGCTGGATGCGTTATTGGGGAACGCTCTTCAAGGTAGGAATACTCCTCCTAGGACGCATGCATTAGATCTTTGATTTGCTCCTGAAACTTAAACAGAGACGCCATCAGTTAGGACTGGGCGATTAATTGAAGAGGACATGAACAATAACTTATGTGTTGCATGTTATCCTCCGAATAGTGCTGTCTTGGATCACACTTATCTTCTAAATTAATTTCCTACTTATTTCTCAAAGAAAATCTTCTCTCAGAATAACGGCGGCCTCTTTGTTTACAAGTTTCTGGGTGTCCACGTGGTTTCCATCATGTGATTTGATGTTGTTTGAATGGCGGAGGCAGGAATTCATTTAAATTAGTGATTTCAGATGGGACGGGCTGCACCTCACGTTCATTCAATACCGATTACAAAACCAGAGAACATTTGTTTCGTTTAAAAGTAGAGACTTCAAGCTTTATGTTGATATATTTCTCGTCTGTGAGGCAAGTATTCGCTGAGATTCCAGCACGTTTACTGACTCTAGAGGGTCATAAAGCCTGATTTAAACCAGGTTCGCTACTTCACTTGTGTGCTCGCGGCGAATGTTATGCCATCATTGTGTTTGCGGAGGTTCGCCTTGGGTGCACGCGACATGATTTCGGCTGGCGGAGCGCGCGATTTTTTAGGATAATCAAGCGAACAGTTTATGCGGCGTCACAACTGATTTAAGTTGAATATGAAACACTTTGAAGAGATTTTCTCTGAAACACGTACGACTGTTCACACATCTTTATGATCCATCCATCCGTGGTCATAGGGAGAACCAGATGATCAACAATTCTTGGCTAGAAATTGCAACAGCCGTGGGAAAGGAGGAACGTTTTTGTTAAAAGGTTTGGAAAAACCTGAGGGATGAGTTTGTTAAAGTCAAAAGAGGTGCCATGAAAAAGTGGAGATCCAGGTACACAATTACAGAATATGTTTTTCCACCAGTCACAGGTTCAACACTGATGTAAATATTACAATATTGAATTTAAAACAGTTTAATAGTTAAAAAACTATAATTAAGTTAAATAAGTTCTTTGAAAACTGGAAAGGAATATTTGATCCTGTCGGTTTGCATCATACTGATGCCTGTTTTTCTAAGCTTTATTGGTGATAATGGTTCAGGAATGTTGCACCATTATTGCCTTTTTAGCATAAGAAGACAGAAACTAGCCAGACAGTAAATGTGTGAATTATGGAGCGAGATAAATCTAAAAAAACATGTGCTTTTTTTGCTTTTATTCTTCCCATAATAAAAGATCTTTTTGTAGAGTAACTTTAATAGATAAAACTGTCAGAGATATGAACAATATTAAGTGATGCATCAAAGTTTGATTAAAAAAATCTTGAATGTTTACACAAATCCTCATAATTATTGAAATAAAATGCTAAAAAACATTTTTTTTTTAATTGTTTAAAAATCTGTGATAATAATGATAATATGATGTAGTTCTGGAAACTTTCTACTTCTCTGTATATCCGTCAGATTTTACAGTTTCTTTTGAGCGCCCTCTGTTGTTTAAAAGAATATCACTATTGCAAATGCGTCTAAGTATAAAAGCCTTGTTCGTTACGTGAGCTCCGCATGCAGTCAGCAGAGGTCTGCGACGCGACGCCAGGCGAAAGTATAAATCCAGCTTCACAGTGAAGCTGCAGAAACTGTCATAAAAACACATCTTTACATAGCCCCTCCCCCAGTTAGTCCTCAGTCCATAGGAATCAGTGATTGGCTTCTTTGCTAGAAGGCGGGGCTTCCTTTGCTATTGTGGCTATATTGACCTTTTAATTTTTCTCCATTCAGAACTATTAATGTTGTTCTTAAACAGCGCTGATTGGCCGTTGTGTTCATGTGCTCAACAGAAATGACTGTGATTGGCCGTGAAGGTCATCAGTTCACTGAACTCACCACTGTTTACTGAGTGTAACCACAGATACAGGGAGCGTTTTAAAGCTGATGACGTGACTTTGAAAAGTTCCAGTTTCCCTGTATCTGTGGTTAAACAGCGGTGAGTTCAGTGAACTGATGACCTTCACAAACACGGTGAATTCTGTTGAGCACATGAGCACAATGGACAATCAGTGCTGTTTAAGAATTCGCTTAACAGTGCTCAAATGGACGTTTTTAAAACTTCAGTATCGTTTAGTACCGAATTCCAGTATCGTGATAACCCTAAAAACTATACAGGTGACTTGTCTTGTGTATTCTACAGTGTTTGACATAAACCAGTCAGAGTGATCAAAATCATTGAAAGCAGAAAACGTTCAAACTAAGAAAGTCATTGAGGAATTATATAAATGTGTTTGTTTAAAAGAAATGGGAACCTTTATCCTTTAATTCTATTATACACTTTGATTCAGATCTTCTTTTGAACATTATCATAAGGCCTCTCTAGGATGGTGTTTATGTCTCTTTTGGTTTGGTCTGGGGAATGTATTTTTGATTTCTTTGTTGCCTTTGTTTCTGTTCCCTTGTTGGCTGGTTTGAAACAGAACTAGGTAACGTGCCCTTGGGTGAGTACCAGTAGCCACACTGTCTCTATAATGAATGCATGGGTCTCCCTCCTCGGACTAACTACAGGCTATCGCTAGCGATCCCATCCGCAGGTGCATGAGGCTTCTGCCCATCTTTCCACACATCCTCTACCAGTCCTTACCATATTACCATCAGTTAGCAACATGCTGCTTATTAGCATTAGCATACATCACAGTCCAGCTGCAGGAAAACAAGTGACTCTTCAGGATTCTTTACCACTAATTTGTTTCCTTCCTCTTTGAATGATTTACCATTTGTGTGCCCTCATCCCTCTTCTCCACAACTGTTTTGCTCTAACTTTGATAAAAGCCTCTTCTTGGTCACTGAAACCAGTTTGGATCAACGTTTCACAGTAACTAAAGAAACTAGCATGGTAGCGCTGTGCTTAATGTACCCTCATTCGCTTTGTATTACTACCACACTCTTAGAAATCTCTTTTAAACGCCCCAGATAAAAGTGTGATTTGGCTTTAATTTCAGTACACTGCAAACTCATAGAAATACCACAGGTATTAAAATCGACACAGATTTGTTGTGTTGTCTAAAAGAAACCCTCTGTTTATTCCTTCTCCCCTCAATAGAAAATGGAGATGACAGTAGTAGTGACGAGTCAACCCCAAGTCCTGCAGTGGAAGGAAAGTAAGTAGCAAACCTAAGCCAACACCTTTTCCCAAAATACTGGTACATTTTCAAAATAACTGTTAGCCGCTAGTGGTTATTTTAAAAATAACTGTGATCAGTGGTGGATTTTTCAAATTAACTGATCAGTGGTGAATATTTTTTAAAATAACTGACAGTAGTAGTGGTTATTTTCAAAATAACTGTCAGTAGTGGTGGATGTTTTCAAAATAACTGTCAGTAGTGGTCATATTTTCAAAATAACTGTCATCTGTGGTGGATATTTTCTAAATTACTGTCAGTAGTTGCGGATGTTTTCAAAATAATTGTCAGTAGTAGTGGATGTTTTCAAAATAACTGTCAGTATGGTGTTTATTTTCAAAATATCTGTCTGTTGTGGTGATATTTTTAAAATAACTGTCATTAGTTTTAGATGTTTTCAAAATAACTGTCAGTAGTGGTCATGTTTTTAAAATAACTGTCAGTAGTGGTGATGTTTTCAAAATAGCTGTCAGTAGTGGTGATGTTTTTAAAATAACTGTCAGTAGTGGTGATGTTTTTAAAATAACTATCAGTAGTGGTGGATGTTTTCAAAATAGCTGTCAGTAGTGGTCATGTTTTCAAAATAACTGTCAGTAGTGGTGATGTTTTCAAAATAGCTGTCAGTAGTGGTGATGTTTTCAAAATAACTGTCAGTAGTTGCTGATGTTTTCAAAATAACTGTCAGTAGTGGTGATGTTTTCAAAATAACTGTCAGTAGTGGTGATGTTTTCAAAATAACTCAGTAGTTGCTGATGTTTTCAAAATAACTGTCAGTAGTGGTGGATTTTTTCAAAATAACTGTCAGTAGTGGTCATGTTTTTAAAATAACTGTCAGTAGTGGTGGATGTTTTCAAAATAACTGTCAGTAGTGGTCATGTTTTTAAAATAACTGTCAGTAGTGGTGGATGTTTTCAAAATAACTGTCAGTAGTGGTGATGTTTTCAAAATAACTGTCAGTAGTTGCTGATGTTTTCAAAATAACTGTCAGTAGTGGTGATGTTTTCAAAATAACTGTCAGTAGTGGTGGATGTTTTTAAAATAACTGTCAGTAGTGGTGGATCTTTTCAAAATAACTGTCAGTAGTGGTGGATGTTTTTAAAATAACTGTCAGTAGTGGTGGATCTTTTCAAAATAACTGTCAGTAGTGGTGGATGTTTTTAAAATAACTGTCAGTAGTGGTGGATCTTTTCAAAATAACTGTCAGTAGTGGTGATGTTTTCAAAATAGCTGTCAGTAGTGGTCATGTTTTCAAAATAACTGTCAGTAGTTGCTGATGTTTTCAAAATAACTGTCAGTAGTGGTGATGTTTTCAAAATAACTGTCAGTAGTGGTGATGTTTTCAAAATAACTCAGTAGTGGTGGATGTTTTCAAAATAACTGTCAGTAGTGGTGAATGTTTTCAAAATAACTGTCAGTAGTGGTGGATGTTTTTAAAATAACTGTCAGTAGTGGTGGATGTTTTCAAAATAACTGTCAGAAGTTGCTGAAATTTTCAAAATAGCTGTCAGTAGTGGTGGATATTTTCAAAATAACTGTCAGTAGTGGTGAATATTTTCAAAATAACTGTCAGTAGTAGTTGGGGAAGGAAAGTAAGTTGATATTCTGCTAATCAACAGTATGTGTGTTTTAAATAAATTAACAAAGCTAAGTCAACATCTTTTCCTATTATCCAGCACCCTGGCCTCAGACCTCATGAAGTTATGTGGCGAGACTAAATCTAGGACTAAGGTATGAGATAAATTGTATTGATTTCACCTCACCTGAATCTCAGTAACTAATAGATTTTTGGCATAAACCATGAAAAATGTCATCAATGAGTGAAGCAAGGAATAATTAATGACAGGCTGTTGAAATATTATAAAAATAATGCAAACAGGATGTCAAGTGTGCATAATTTTATGATAATTCAATGGACCTGAGTGCATTATTATTTTCATACTAAAGTTCCTACAGCTGCAGCCACTGTTCAGATGTAGTATTTGAGACGTTTGTCAGATTTTTGTCTTCAAACTGCTCCTGTGTGTGGGACTGTTTTACACATCTTATCCAAAGTCTTCTGTTTTGTTTTGATGTGACTTGTAACTGTTGTATATGTGAAATAACTAAAATCATTCAGTGTGTTCATGGAGCTGTAATGCACTCAAAACCTGTTGGAACTACTTTTATCCGTGTGTATTTCTGAATATAATTGCACACCTTCGAAAGTTTATCAGCCAATCAGGATCAAGCATTTAACAGCCCTATAGTATAGGTGACATTAGATGAGCATTGACAACCAAACTCTTTGTTCCTTACTGAACTAACTTTGTCACGTTGCTTTTGCATCTATTGCAAAGGCCCGTAGAAGGACGACTACTCAGATGGAGTTGCTTTATGTCGACTCTGGCCAAGACGCAGCAACAAAAGACTTCACCATCCCTCTACACCCAATGGCTGAGACATCCGAGGGATCTGGAGAGCTGGAGTCTGCAGGGAATACAGTCAGGGATCGGGATTATATGCCCTCTCCTGCTGGTTTGACCTCTAGAATGGGGGGCATGTAAGTATAAAGAAACACAAACCTTGCAAAGTGACATCTTAGAGCTTATTAACTGCTCCACCTCACATCATGCATGAACTAACTTCCCCTGCTTTATTTACTGAACTTTTTTCATCAAATGTTTTGTCTTGTTAGGAAAGATGTTTTAATCTCACACTAATATTTTTTTCTTCTATGTTGCTAAGACTGATCTCATCTGGTCACTTCCAGCTTAGTTCGAATATACATTTATCTAATATGGGGTGTTGCTTTTATTTACTTATTTATTTTAGTAACCATTCCATGTATTCTGAGTGGATAACAACACTCAGTGACAACACTTTGAATAGTAATTACTAGCATACTGTTAATTGTGATAACAAGATAGTAAGATGTTTTTTCAGTCCGTTCAAGAATTACATAAACTGTGAAGACATACAGAAAGAGGTTGAGCCACAGTTTTCAGAGTAGCACATCCGCTCTCATTTTCAGTCATTATTCGAAATCTGTTTCAAGCATTTGTCAGACATTGAGGAATATGAGACAAGAATTCTAAATATTTAAAGTTACTTTCAAAAATCATTTGCTTGCTTTTTTCACCTTTTACTTCAGTAACAAAAGTTAACAGATGTGAGGAATACCACTGGTTTGTTGTGTTCCACAAGACGTGGCAATTATTTACAAATTTTTATTTCAATTGGATAAGAAGTAGTGGATTTAAAAAACAAAAAATAACTAAAGTAGTGATAATAAAAGTAGTGGTGGATATTTTCTAAATTACTGTCCTTAGTGGTCATATTTTTAAAATAACTGTCAGTAGTTGCATATATTTTCAAAATAACTGTCATCAGAGGTGTATATTTTCAAAATAACTGTCATCAGTGGTGATAGTTTTAAAATAACTGTCAGTAGTTGCATATACTTTCAAAATAACTGTCAGTAGTTGCGTATATTTTCAAAATAACTGTCAGTAGTTGCATATATTTTCAAAATAACTGTCAGTAGTTGCAGATATTTTCAAATAACTGTCATCAGTGGTGATAGTTTCAAAATAACTGTCAGTAGTTGCATATACTTTCAAAATAACTGTCAGTAGTTGCATATACTTTCAAAATAACTGTCAGTAGTTGCAGATATTTTTAAAATAACTGTCATCAGTGTTGATAGTTTCAAAATAACTGTCATCAGTGGTGCTATTTCCAAATTAACTGTCAGTAGTTGCATATATTTTCAAAATAACTGTCATCAGTGGTGATAGTTTGAAAATAACTGTCATCAGTGTTGATATTTTCAAAATAACTCTCAGTAGTTGCAGATATTTTCAAAATAAATGTCATTAGTGGTGCTATTTCCAAAATAACTGTCAGTAGTTGCAGATATTTTTCAAATAACTGTCATCGGTGGTGGATATTTTTAAAATAACTGTCATTGGTGGTGGATATTTTTAAAATAACTGTCATCGGTGGTGGATATTTTCAAAATAACTCAGTAGTTGCAGAAAGTTTCAAAATAAATGAAAGTTGCAGATATTTTCAAAATATCCTCCAAACACTGACAATAATTTGCAGAATTGTCTACTAGTATTTCTGTATTGTTCCAAATGTTTGGTTTGTTTTACTACTTTTTTTATAAGTTTACAACTGATAGTGATAGCTTAAGGAAAATTGACACAGAATATTTGCTTAACTTAGCATTTTATTTAAAACGGCAAACATTTTTAGCCCTTTCGTGTATTTGATTATGCATGCTGCCCATCTTATGTTCATGTCAAATTTTTTCCCATTCAGTTCCGTCCTTGTGTTTTATTTTTATGTTTCTGTGTTTCACGTTGCAAATGGATCTTAAAGTAGCAGCTCTGGCAACAGATTTCCAGCAGGTGGGCAAAAGAGATTGCCGGAACCTTCCCCTCTGTCTCGCAGGAAGACTTATGACAAGGGACAAGCCCAGGCTGACAAGGCCAAATCCAAAGAGATCTTACAGTAAGAGCTTTAGCGCCCCCCAGTGGCAGAACGTTGCCTGTTTGTGTTGGTTTTTCAGACAGGAAGACTGCGAACAGGAAATATATGTAGAAAAGTTTGGGTTTTAGTGACGCATGCACTCTAATTCTTAACTTTAACAATGGCTACTTTACATTGACTGCAATAATCGTACTGGCTTTATTAATAAATGAGAAGCAGCCCAATCACATTCTCACGTCTGAATATCTCCGGAATTCCAATTTAGGCATATGACGTTTTCTGTAATTCAGAAAATGGTATTTACATGGCATTTTCGAATTCAGTGTGCTGTCAATAGTCGTGTCATTAGCAGTCCACGTAAAAAATGGCCACAAAATGCCAGATTGGCTCGGCTTTGAAAGTAGTCATAGATTTTACCCTCGCATGAGTCAATAAACGCTGCTCTAAAACAAATAACGTCCTTTCAGAAGGAGGGAGGAATGTTTGCCACTAAATCCGTCTATTCATCTTGAACTCGGCGCTTTTATTTTCTCCAGCGCTTGTATAAAACAAAGAGGTTAAGAGATGTTTTCGCCTTACAGACGCTGACTACTTATGATTATTTGCACCTGAAGTGATGTTGGTTATTTAAGTTGAACTCTAATGTTATTTTTCAAGTACATATTTCTCTGTGTGTGAATATGTACGGTAGGTGTGCATGCATTCAAAGTTCAGTTCATCTTTTTAAGTTTGTGTTTCAAGCATTTAAACATTTTGTTAAACACTACAGAAAATAAGGGGATGATGGCAGATTCTGTAATATTATATGCAGTTTGTACAGTCTTAGAGAACACAGGGATGTGGCTATGATTGAGAGCATTTGGGTTTTTTGTTTGTCTTTTCTCACACACAAATGATTTCACAAGTCTCTTCACTTCCCTTTTCTGTTTATTTTGTGTTATTTGCATGTGGATGAATATCTGAACCACATTCATTGGCTTGCGTGCCTGAGATTGTTTGTTTTATGAAGTATTTTGGGTGAACTACAGTGCCATAAAAAAGTATTTGCTTTTATTTCATGATATTCTTTTTTTTTAGTCGTTATTTATAAAATTATAAATAATAAACTGGGTTCACTATGGCAAAATTAAACAAAAAAAGTCAAATCTTAAAACTTAATAAAATATCATATACCAAATAAAATCTCAAATAATGAAAAAATAAACAACAGAAATGAATAAAAGTGCTAAAACTTTTAATAGAGCTCAAATGAAAACAAGCTCCAAAAATAAAAGTTAATAATACTGATAAAATGCTTTCTGTTGTCGTATTCAGTTATGATTGAATGAAGATGAAATCAGTTTAGTAAAAAAGTAAGAAAAATATAAATGGATGGATGGATAAATGGATGGATAAAATGATGGCTAGATAGATAGATAGATAGATAGATAGATAGATAGATAGATAGATAGATAGATAGATAGATAGATAGATAGATAGATAGATAGATAGATAGATAGATAGATAGATAGATAGATAGATAGATAGATAGATAGATAGATAGATAGATGGAAAAAAATGGATGGATGGATAAATTGATGGTTGGATGGATAAATTGATGGATGGGTGGATAAATGGATGGATGGATAAACTGATGGAGGGATGGATAGATGAATGGATGGATAAATTGATGGATGGATGGATGGATGGATGAATAAATAGATGGTTGGATAAATGGATGGATGGATAAATGGATGGAAAGATAGTAAAATGGATGGATGGATGGATAAAATGATGGATGGATGGATGGATGGATAAATTGATGGATGGGTGGATAAATGGATGGATGGATAAATGAATGGATGGATGGATGGATGGATGGATGGATGGATGGATGGATGGATGGATGGATGGATAAATTGATGGATGGATAAATAAATGGATGGATGGATGGATAAAATGATGGATGGGTGGATGGATGGATGGATGGATAGATAAATGAATAGATGGATAAATGGATGGATGGATGGAAAATAGATGGATAGATAAATGGATGGATAGAAAATTTGATAGATAAATGGATAAATGGATGGATAGATAAATGATGGATGGATAAATTGATGGATAGATGGAAAAATGGATAGGTGGATGGATGGATGGATGGATAAATGTATTGATGATGGATGGATGGATAGATGGATAAATTGATGGATGAATAAATTGATGATAGATTGATAAATGGATAGATTGATAAATTGATGGATGGATGGTTGGACAGACATATTTTTCCTTTTCATTTAGTTTAACTACTGTAGATTCACTTAAACAACTAAAAATACAATAAGCCGTAACAACTGCATACATATGTGTAGAAGTTTTGTTTAAGTTATTATTTTAATATAATTATTAATTAACAATGTATGCACAGTTGAAGTCAAAATTATTCGCCCTCTTGTGAATTTGTTTTACTTTTTTAAATATTTCCCAAATGATGTTGAACAGTTTTCACAGTATGTCTGGTAGTATTTGTGCTTCTGATAGTATAAGTCTTATTTGTTTAATTTCGGCTAGAATAAAAGCAGTTTTAATTGTTTTAAACCCATTTTAAGGTCAATATTATTAGTCCCCTTAAGCTATATTTGTTTTTGATTGTCTTAAGAACAAACCACTGTTATACAATGACTTGCCTAATTACCCTAACTTTACCCTGATTACCCTAGTGAAGCCTTTAAATGTCACTTTAAGCTGAACACTAGTGTCTTGAACAATATCCAGTCTAATATGATTCACTGTCATCATGACAAAGAGAAAATAAATCAGTTATTAGAAATTTTCTTACTAAAACTAATAAAATATTTCTGTTAAGCAGAATATACAGGGGGGCTAATAATTCTGTCTTCAACTGTATGTTAGGTCTTTATGGCACTGTAATTGCACCAATGCAGAGCTGAATCCTCTATACACCGGCTGTGCTGTCGCTATGCACTGACTGTTGGCTGTGTGCTGTGTGTCAGAGGCATCATCAACCCTGTTCCGGTGTGGAAGAGCGCTCGCGGTGGTGGCGGCGGGACACTGCAGTGTGTTCATGTGGCCGAGGGTCACAGTAAAGCCGTTCTGTGTGTCGAATCTACAGACGACCTCATGTTCACCGGATCTAAAGGTCAGAAGAGGCTTTGCTATTTTATTTAGCATAATCAGATATTATTTTACAGGGTTCATACAGTGCTGGAAATCATTACAAAAGCAATAGAAGTTGTAAGTGTTCAAGGTTTGAAAAGTGCTTAGATTTCTGCTTGAAGATATACACTAGCAGACAAAAGTCTTGTGGCCTATCCAAGTTTCAGGAACAGCAAATAATAGCTTGACTTTTAGTTGATCATTTGATATCAGAAGTGTCTTATATGAAAGGCGAAGGCCTCTAGATTTTGCTCATTTGAGCACAATAAAATCTGATCATGTCTTGATTATTAATGATTTCATTAGGTCAGTAAGGTCTAAGAAAGCCTTCTTGCAGGACTCCCGGAATTCATCAAGATTATTTGTGTTCATCTTCAATGCCTCCTCCTTCATCTTACCTCAAACATACTCAATAATGTTCATATCTGGTGACTGGGCTGGCCAATCCTGGAGCAGCTTGACCGTCTTTGCTTTCAGGAGCTTTGATGTGGAGGCTGAAGTATGAGGAGCGCTATCCTGCTGGAGAATTGTCCCTCTCCTGTGGTTTGTAATGTAATGGGCAGCACAAATGTCTTGATACATCCAGGGTTTCTGCCGGTTAAATTTAAGACATTTTAAAACCTTTTTAAGACCAATATGAATGACATTTTCGACTTTTTGAGACATTTTAGATTCTGGGCTAAATGCTAACCCACATAGCAAAATTTCTCTGGCCCAGCTCTGGCCCACACAATCAGGTTTTGCTTGGCCCACATGCCGCAGTGAATTACGGTACATGACTGGACCAAATCTGGCTTCCAGACAAGGGCCAAACACGGACCATATTTGGGCCAAGTCTCAGCCAAGTTAATAACTCATAACTGGGCCTGAACTGGGCCAGATAGGTTGAAGTGTCACGATTGCAATGAAATTGATAAACCCATGGAGTGATGCTCTTTAGGCACACTATGGGCACGCTTTTTCTCAAAGTGACCTGATTGGTAGAATTTTTTTTCTTTACTCAAAAATGATTTTAGTGTATTTTAAATGTGGGTCAAGACTGGCCAAACTCACATGGCCCACTAGTCAAATTTTTTAATCTGGGCCAAATACTACGTTTTTCATCTGGCCCAAATCTTGTGTGCCGCCTTAAAGACGGTGCCACCTCTGCCAAACCCGGGCCATGTTTGGCCCACATGCTGTATGCCAGTGCCGGATGAATGCCTGCTGTGCTAGCTTTATGCCAAATCTGGCCCAGAATTCTTTGCTACTAGGGAAGGATTTTTTTCCCGAATATCCCAGTTGAAAAAGAGCTTCATGTGCCGTATCTAAAAATGATTATAATTGAATGCATTAAATAATACAATAGAACTAATTTAATAATAAAAAACCATCAGGTCAGATCAGTTTGCTCAGCAGTAAATAATTGAAGTACTTTTAAACGAATGTTACTGTAAGGAAAGTAATGCGATGTTTTTTTTTTTTAAATAAAAAGTTTAAAGTTTTATTGAGATTGGGATTGTTGGGGATTGTAAGGGTGTTAATGGCCAGAATGGTATACATAAACAAAGGAAAATTAAAGGTGCAGTAGGTGATTGTCTTCAGAAACATGTGTTGTTGTGCTGGTTGACAGTCTCTTCACAGTCCAAAGTGCTCATTAGAGTAAATGATCTAAATGTGTTTATATGTATTTTAATATTCAGGGTAAAGCATAAAACTACAAAATGTTCATCCAATTAAATACTGTCAGGCCGACATCTCCCATAATTCCGATAAGCAGCTCAAACTGTCTGTCAGCAAATGCAGATTTGGACTTCTGCGCATCTGTTCGCGCCTGCATGAGCGCCGCACGTTCATGAGACGATCACAGATGCGGTGAAATCAAATGCTGAATTGTAACATTTGAAAATGCTGAATCAATATTGAAGTTACTTTAGCACGCTGGAGGAAGCACGACACCATAGCTGAAGTACTGTTAGACAGGTAAAGTTCTGTTTTAAAACTAATTTAGTCAGGCTGAGCTTATGTTAGACTGTGTTGTTATGAATTGCATATATGCACAGACGTGTTGTTCAGCCACTGAAATCTCCCGGTGACAGATTGATGTGACTATTTTCAGTTTCATAAGGGACTTTCGACAGGATCGATGATGTAGATTTATATTTAGTTTAACAACAAAACATCAGTAAATAGCGCTGTTATGCATAACCTGCTGTATTGAGCTGAAGTTGCTTTAATATTCACATTGGGTCATTTTTGAACAATGACAGTCTTCCTATACTGTTCACCATGCTACTCTGAATATTCGCTCTGAAATAGCATGTAAGATTGGCTTAGTAATAAATGTAGTTCCTGCACGTCGCCGGCCAAACACTCACAGGCAGATGACAGACATTGTCACACCTGCTGCAGTGCCCTCTGGTGGTTTTCAAGGGCACCAGTTTTTGTTTTGGTTTTTGTGTTTGTATCCTAGTCATGTGATCACTCCTTGTTTCCAGCTGTCCCTCATTGTCTAATTAGTTCTGTCTTTATAAGACCTGTTATGTTGTGTTTAGTTTGCCTTTGGATTTTCAATGTTCTGTTTAGGTTTGTAGTGCTTTATTCGTGATCTGGTTCATCGTGTTTGGTTTGTTTGTTTGTTCACTTTGTTTAGTATCATTACTATGTTTTGGATACCTGTTTAGTTTGTGTTTGATTCACTTTTGTGCTTCTTTTTTGCACTTCATGTTTTCGTCGATTTTGGTACCTTGCCTGTCCCTTTGTCATGTTTTTGGGATCTTTATTGTTTGGCAATAAATGTGTTTTGCTGCACTTGGATCTTTCCCTTGTTTTTGTGATACCCAGTCATGACAGACATGAACTAGTGGGTTGTCTGCTGTTGTGACGCGGTGCGCGTGTTCGCAATTTCAGGAGGCATGGTTTGAATCACAGTCCCTCCCCGACGTCCAAAGATAATATGCTAAGCGGTTAGCATTTTGGCAGATCACCTACTGCACCTTTAAAAGCTGCTAAAAAAATATTTAAGACCTACAACACAATATGTCAGTAGATTTAAGACTTTTTAAGGCCTAAAATTAAGCTTTTGAGATTTAAGACTGTTTAGGACCCAGCGGATACCCTGTACCTCACGCTGTTGATGTTGCCATCCACTCTGCAGATCTCTCGCACACCCCCATACTGAATGAACCCCAAACCATGACTTTTCCTTCACCAAACTTGACTGATTTCCGTGAGAATCTTGGCTCCACGTGGGTTCCAGTAGGTCTTCTGCAGTATTTGTGATGATTGAGATGCAGATGATTCAGCAGAAAAGTCTTAATAGACTTTAATCACATTACAACATCGATGCAGTAAAAGCGACCGTATGAAAGCGACAACAGTCACGTTAACCTTTTATAAGATGTTTATCGGTCGGGGAAAACACTAGCTGTGCATATACCCCATTCGTTATCATTGGTCAACAGCGGTTGAATCTTTTGGGAATCTCGGAGAAAGAGATTTTATTTCTTTCCAATCCCCCAATCTTGACCTCTGGCTTCTTTGGTATTACTGTAAGCATGGCAGTATAAGACATCAATTGGCAGCGCTTGATTTCTCCATCTCCCAGCTGTGGTCGTGGTCCTTCACCTTTGGAAACCAGCTTGTATTTCTTTGAGGACGGGTCAGAAGATGAGCGCGGCTCCTGGGAGATGAGAAGCGAAGCGCCGTGTTCGCAGGAAATCAATATAGGATCTCATTAAGGACTCATTCCGGCTTGTAGATCCGAACAGCCTAAGCTTTGAGATCCTTCCTGGACTAATTATGAATTCTGACAGAGACGCTGAGTGGACTGAATTGCCTGCAGTATCCTACATTCTCTATCGACCTCTCCAGTATATTAAATATAGGAGATGAGCTCCCCGAGGGGATGAGTTATAGAGTGGCTTTTGGTTCCTCTGTCTTCCTCCACCAACACTGTAAGACAGGGGTAGGAGTGTGGACACTTCTATTTTTATACACTGTCTCAGGCTTCGTTAGGTACATGGGTTAAGTAAAAGAATAAATGAAGACTTTATTATGCGGCTTTCTCTTAACATTCAGGAGTCTGCGCAGCTTCAGTATGCATCTTTGGTTAAATTCTATTGAGCTTATTCTTGACGTACAAGCAGGCGCAGCCATTGGAATCGAGATTTTTGGCTCGAGACTTCTGCTCTTACTGGAAGACATGATAGGACGAGGCAACATACGACAACGAAGTGGCACAGGACAGCAGACATGGGGAGACTATAAGCAGAAATAATTAACAAACAAACAAACAGGTGAACTGAATTAACTAATAATGGGTTAACAAAGAGGGTAAGACTAGACAATAGACAGGAGAGCACATGACACAAGACAACACAAGCTATGTGCTCACATTAAAGAGAGAGCTCATTAACCATGTGTTCACATGAGACAACACTGAAGTGCACAGCCACGATGTAAACACTGGACCACATGCTTAGGAAACACCAACATAAACAGAACCCAAGACACGAGTACACGATAAATGAAAAACACCTTACCGTGATCACACATGCGACATGCATATTCCGATCCCAGCGTCAACCGAAACGGACTGGACTAGTGCCCTGAGAACGAAACACCATGCCGCCAACAAAACAACAAACACACCAGGACGAGAGCAAACAACACGACGGTGCACATACAAAGACACACAATGACAGAAAATGAGTGCTCGAGCTGAGCACAACATACAAGACATGACAGGACTAGTGTCTGGACCAAAACAAGAATTAAACAAGACCAGAGTGGCAGAATCTGGTTGTGAAACTATCATATCCTAATTCCAACCCCTATTATTCCGGATGACATGCTGGGTATTAATGTTCTCATATATGCAAGGATGGTGTAGCATTGAAGTTCCCTCTGAAGGGATTGGCTTAAAACTTCCCTCAGATGGGAATGACAGGATTCGTTGTATTGCCATACATCTGTGCATCAAGTCTTTCTTCAAACAAATGGAAGTTGATGAAGTTTATCACGGGCAGCCGTTTAGAACAGGCATGTCCAAACTCGGTCCTGTAGGCCGGTGTCCTGCAAAGTTTAGTCCCAACCCCAATCAGACACACCTGGGCTAGCTAATCAAGCTCTTACTAGGTTTTCTAGAAACATCCTTGCAGGTGTGATTTTAGCAAGTTGGAGCCTGGTCGACCAGGCTGGTTTTAAAGGGGTTTTGGCCATTTCCAGGCTGCTTTCCAGCCTGTTCTTAGCTGGTCAGGCTGGAAAATGACCAGCTAAATCCAGCTAAAACCAGCTTGATCAGCCTGGTTTAAGCTGGACATAGCTGGTTTTGGCTGGGCTCCCATCCTGGCTAGGCTGGTCAAGCTGGTTTTAGCTGGTCATCTCCCAGCCTGACCAGCTAAGACCAGGCTGGAAATGGCTGGAAACCAGCCTGGAAATGGCCAAAACCCCTCTAAAACCAGCCTGGTCGACCAGCTAAAACCAGCCACCCAACCTAGGCTGGTTTAAGCTTTTTTTTCAGTAGGGATAGCCAATCAAAACTGGGCTATTTTCAATTATACCTCAGATTCAGATCAGTCTAAAGATGCTCCCATAGAATCACCAAGCATCTGACTCTCATCTCCGGGAACTGGGTCATAAATATAACCCTAAGACATTGAATGGTTTCAGTTAACTATATTAACCTGGGTTTTTCCTTTTTTCAGATCGTACCTGTAAAGTTTGGAATTTAGTGACGGGACAGGAGATCATGTCTCTGGGCGGCCACCCTAACAACGTAGTGTCAGTGCGCTACAGCTCTAGTCTGGTCTTTACCGTCTCCACCTCCTACATCAAAGTCTGGGACATCCGAGACTCTGCCAAATGCATCCGGACACTCACGTGCGTCCTAAACAACTCATGATTATCAGATATGCAATATTTGAGATGAAATCAGAGAGCTCCCTTATCCTCCGTAGACATCAAGGTGTAATTAGGGGAAAATAAGTCAGTAGTTGATAGTGGGAATTGGTACTTAAACTGAAGTGTTACCATAATTTGTGTTCTGGTATTGAAATCTTCTCCTTTGTTTTTTCATTTAGCTCGTCAGGTCTGGTGAACACTGGTGATATGTGTGCCGCTAGCACCAATCGCACCGTGACCATACCGGCTGGAGAAAATCAGATTAACCAAATCTACCTGAACCCGTCCGGCACCGTTCTCTATGCTGCCGCCGGAAACTCTGTCCGTGTCTGGGACCTGAGGCGGTATGGCTTTACCCACAATCCTTCACTCTACATCATGTGCCACATCATATGACTGACGTTGTGTTTTTACAGGTTTGTGTGTACAGGAAAACTAACGGGTCATCTGGGTCCAGTCATGTGCTTGACTGTTGATCAGACTGGAAACGGACAGGATCTGGTCATCACAGGCTCTAAGGATCACTACATCAAGGTTTGGTTGAGTTGATTTTGAGGCTAGTTTATAACACCAGATGCGTTCTAGGCTTGTTTATAACAGCAGACGGTGCTCTAGGCTAGTTTAACAGCAGACAGCGCTCTAGGCTAAGTTTTAACAGCAGATGCAGCTCTAGGGTAATTCAACAGCAGATGTTGCTCTTGGCTAGTTTAACAGCAGTCTGCGCTCTAGGCTAGTTTAACAGCAGATGGCGCTCTAGGCTAGTTTAACAGCAGACGGTGCTCTAGGCTAGTTTAACAGTAGACGGTGCTCTAAGCTAGTTTATAACAACAGATAACGCTCTTAGCTAGTTTTAACAGCAGATGGCGCTCTAGACTAGATTAAAAGCAGATGGCGCTCTTGGCTAGTTTTTAAGAGCAGAAGGCACTCTAGTCTAGTTTTTAACAGAAGGTGCTCTAGGCTAGTTTATAAAAGATGTTTTAGACTAGTTTTTAACAGCAGACGACGCTCTAGGCTAGTTTTTAACAGCAGATGATGCTCTAGGCTAGTTTTAAACAGCAGATGGCGCTCTAGGCTAGTTTTTAACAGCAGATGGTGCTCTAGGCTAGTTTTTAACAGACGGCGCTCTAGGCTAGTTTATAACAGATGGTGCTCTAGGCTAGTTTTTAGCAGCAGACGGCGCTTTAGGCTAGTTTTTCACAGGCGATCTAGGCTTTTTTTTTAAACAATAGTCGGCGCTCTAGGCTAGTTTAACAGCAGACAGCTCTCTAGACTAGTTTAAAAGCAGATGGCGCTCTAGGCTAGTTTTTAAGAGCAGAAGGCGCTCTAGGCTAGTTTTTAACAGACGGCGCTCTAGGCTAGTTTATAAAAGATGGTGCTCTAGGCTAGTTTTTAACAGCAGACGATGCTCTAGGCTAGTTTTTAACAGCAGACGGTGCTCTAGGCTAGTTTTTAACAGTCGGCGCTCTAGGCTAGTTTATAACAGATGGTGCTGTAGGCTAGTTTTTAACAGACAGCGCTCTAGGCTAGTTTATAACAGATGGTGCTCTAGGCTAGTTTTTAACAGCAGACGATGCTGTAGGCTAGTTTTTAACAGCAGACGGTGCTCTAGGCTAGTTTTTAACAGACGGCGCTCTAGACTAGTTTATAACAGATGGTGCTGTAGGCTAGTTTTTAACAGACAGCGCTCTAGGCTAGTTTATAACAGATGGTGCTCTAGGCTGGTTTTTAACAGCAGATGATGCTATAGGCTAGATTTTAACAGCAGATGGCGCTCTAGGCTAGTTTTTAACAGCAGACGGCGCTCTAGGCTAGTTTTAAACAGCAGACGGCGCTCTAGGCTAGTTTTTAACAGCAGACGGTGCTCTAGGCTAGTTTTTAACAGACGGCGCTCTAGGCTAGTTTATAACAGATGCTGCTGTATGCTAGTTTTTAACAGACAGCGCTCTAGGCTAGTTCATAACAGATGGTGCTCCAGGCTAGTTTTTAACAGCAGGCGGCGCTCGAGGCTAGGTTTTTACAGGCAATCTAGGCTTGTTTTTAAAGCAATAGTCGGAGCTCTAGGCTGGTTTTTAAGTCAAAATGGCGCTTTCACATGACATACACAAGCAAATAATACAAATCAAAATATGACGCCGAGCCTGTCCTGCGGCGTGTGAATGGATGCGTGTTGTGTTTGTGCAGATGTTTGATGTGACCGAGGGCGCTATGGGGAGCATCAGCCCCACTCATAACTTCGAGCCGCCACACTATGATGGCATCGAGTCTCTGGTGGTTCAGGGAGACTGTCTGTTCAGCGGCTCCAGAGACAACGGCATCAAGAAATGGGACCTGACCCGCAAAGACCTGCTGCAGGTACCACAATATACAGTATATACAGTACATTCAAATGAGATTGTGCTCTTTTCAGAAGAGGGCGGAGCTACCTCTTCTGTGCCTGTGTGTCAGCATAGTGGCAGATTCAAGAACATGACTAATGTCATATGCTAATGAGGGAGAGATGGTCACTAGTGGGCGGGGCTTTCCCCCTCTGATGACACGTACAAATGAGGACAACATTGATGAAAGGTTTTGATTCACTTATCAAGTGTTGACTACTGTATATATTCCAGTAAATTACTGTCAAAAAGTAATCACCATCTAGTAATGAAAGTAGCAAATGAAGCCATGACACTCGATATAGTGCACTACATAGTGTACAGGGAGAGTTTTTGTTGTTTTTGATTTACATCAATCCTAAAGTGTGAGTGGTGTGTCCAAATATATCTTTAACACAACATTATAATGCAAGTGTTGCAGCTTCCACAAGGACAATTAGCCAATCAGTTGATTAATCCGCGCGGATAAGGAACAGGCTAATTAGCTCATCAGGAAGTGCATCAATCATGTTTGTCCAGGTTTTCTGGTGTGTGTGTGTGTGTGTTGTCCTCCAGCAGATCCCGAAGGCTCGTCGTGACTGGGTCTGTGCTCTAGTATTATTTAAGCTGAATACTAGTATCTTGAAAAATAACTGGCTGAGTGGTTAGCACTGTTGCCTCACAGCAAGAAGGTCACCGGTTTGAGTCTCAGCTGGGTCAGTTGGCATTTCTGTGTGGAGTTTGCATGTTCTGTTCCCCCACAGTCCAAACACATGCGCTATATTGGAGAAACTAAATTGGCCGTAGTGTATGAGTGTGTGTATGTGAATGTGAGAGTGTATGGGTGTTTCCCAGTACTAGGTTGCATTTATTTTCCTTTGGCTTAGTCCCTTATATATCAGGGTTCACCACTGCGGAATGAACCACCAACTATTCTAGCATATGTTTTACACAGCGGAGCCCTTCCAGCTGCAACCCAGTACTGGAAAACACTAATACACTCTTACTTTTACACACACACTCATACACTACGACCAATTTAGTTTCTCTAATTTCCCTATACAGTAGCGCATGTGTTTGGACTGTGGGGGAAACCGGAGCACCCGGAGGAAACCCACGCCAACACGGGGAGAACATGCAAACTCCACACAGAAACGCCAACTGACCCAGCCAGGACTCGAACCAGCAACCTTCTTGCTGTGAGGCAACAGTGCTAACAACTGAACCACTGTCCGCTCTAGTATTAGTCATTACAAATAAGATAATCAAATGTGCGTGTGTGTTGTCCTCCAGCAGGTCCCGAATGCTCACCGGGATTGGGTGTGTGCTCTGGGAGTGGTCCCGGCGTCTGCGATCCTGCTGAGCGGCTGTCGAGCAGGAGTCCTGAAACTCTGGCACACCGACACACTGAGCCCCCTGGGGGAGATCAGAGGACACGAGAGTCCCATCAACAGCATCTCCACCAACAGCACGCATCTGTTCACCGCTGCCGAGTGAGATACGCTCTAGCCCTGCTCGATAATGGAAAATTTATAATCACGATTATTTTGGTCATAATTGTAATCAGGGCTTGACATTAACACCTGCCAACCCGACAACTGATTTCAGCTGTGGCTAGACAGATACTCAGGTTAGACAGATACTCTCACTAGCCACTTTGGCTGGCTGAAAATAAGTTTTAAATTGTAGTTTTCTTAAAAGCAGAGTTTAATAATAAAGAGTGTCCAATATTCATGCAAATGTGATCTAGAATCAGGAAGCAGCGCAACTGACAAAAATAACTGGGTTTGCGCAAGCATGTGAATATGAGAGGAAACGCAACTGGTACGATCGATTCTTTTTGAAATAGACTGGACCGAAAGCGAGGATCATGCACCCACAGTCCTGCTGCTGTCAAGAGCTCCAGATTTAAAAATAATAATAATAAAAAAAACAATATATATATATATATATATATATATATATATATATATATATATATATATATATAAAGTTGTAGTCAGAATTATTCGCCCCTCTGTTTATTTTTTCCCCCATTTTCTGTTTAACGGAGAGCAGATTTCTTCAGCACATTTCTAATCATAATAGTTTTAATAACTCATCTCTAATAACTGATTCATTTTATCTTTGCCATGATGACAGCACATAATATTAGATACTTTTAATATTAACATCAACAGATATTAAGCAGACAGTCTACTTAAACTTAAATGGACCATCAAAATGAAGTTTTACCAGTATGTTTAATGTAAAATAATAACTAAGTTTTGTCATTTTAAAAATATATTTGGCTAGATTCTTCCAAAAATTGTTTACAATGCTACATTGAAAAAATAAACGACAAAGGCTTATCTGCATTGCAGAAACCACAGATATCCTCCTTTTCAATGTACTTTGATAATCACGATTTTACTAGGGAAAATTGTTTTTTGTATTTTAAAACGAATTTCCCAAATTTTAATATTAATAGTGTATTTAAAGGGAGTTAACCAGGCTCTTTTACAATTATTTTTAACTTACAATAAACTAAACGTGTAATGCAACACAAACACGCTTATGTAAGCACTAGATGGCGCAAACACGCAACAAACCCGAACCTTGCCCCAACGTTCAGCGCATGCGCAGCGCCGTTCTTTGTTGTCACGGTCCAAATTTATCCCGGAATAAGGACAGCACGCATGTGCCGTGAACCCGGATGTATCAGGACTTGTTTGAATAAAGAACAAAAGCAACGGGCTGGAAATACAGCCAGACTGTCTTTAAAAAGTAAAGGAATCTGCTTCCAGTCCGGGTAAAGTACAAGTGCTCGTTTTAGATGATTGATGATTACAGGAACTCACAAGTGGGAGTTTTAGCGTGAATTTCTTCAAGACACTTCTATACAGCTTAAAGTGACATTTAAAGGCTTCACTAGGGTAATTAGGTTAACTAGGCAGGTTTGGGTAATTAGGCAAGTCATTGTATATCGATGGTTTGTTCTGTAGATCAGGAAAAAATAGCTTAAAGGGGCTAAAAATATTGTGCCTAAATTTAAAAAAAAAAACTGCTTTTATTCTATCGAAATAAAACAAATAAGACTTTCTCCAGAATAAAAAATATTATCAGACATGCTGTGAAAATTTCCTGAATCAACATCTTTTGGTAACAATTAAAAAAAGAAAAAAGAATTTAAAGGGGGGCGAAGAATTCTGACTTCAACTTATAATTAATATAATATAATATAATATAATATAATATAATATAATATAATTAAAATAATATATATATTGCAGTCACTGCTTTCACTTTAATTATTCTTTGAATGGATTTATTAACAGGCCAAACATTAACTGTGTACACGTGATCATCCTTTCATCATCACTCATGGTATGTTTCTTTTGCGTACAGTTATTTTCGTTAATATGGTTTAATGATCATTTTTTTATAATAACATTGCTTTAAATGAATTTGACTCCTTGTTTATGTGTAGTTAAGTGGTGATATGGGAGCTTTAGCCAGGACAGATTACTGTGCATATTTTAGAGACATGACAATCATCATTTTTTAAATGTCACATTTTTATAAAGGAAAGTTTTGTTGGAATAAAAAGTGCATGTATACAGGTATGTTTAGCTTTTTATGACAGATTTAAATTATTATTATTTATTTTTGGTGTGGTCAAAGATAAATTTGGTAAATCCTTAATTTTGAGCCCTGAAAAGTCGTGTGAAATAAAAACTAGTTGCACTTATTGCAACACAACCCATTTGCTCATGCACATTGAGCAAGCTCATACACAACACACACAAACAGTGAAATGAATGAGGAGGCATGTGGACATTACATAACATCTAAATCAAGTATTATTAGCATCTCAAAGTCACATTTATTCATATAAAATATATTTTTCCTAACAACAAAAGTGTGGCTAGTAAAAAAGACGAGTGGCTAGTAATGTTTAAAAAAATTATGTCAAGCCCTGGTTATAATCATGATATTTTTGTTTTGGATCGTCTCCTGAACAAATCACTGTTATACAATGACTTGCCTAATTACCCTAACTTTACCCTAATTACCCTAGTGAAGCCTTTAAATGTCACTTTAAGCTGTATAGAAGTGTCTTGAAGAATATCTAGTCTAATATTATTTACTGTCATCATGCCAAAGATAAAATAAATCAGTTATAAGAAAAGAGTTAATAAAACTATTATAAATAGAAATGTGTTGAGAGGAATATTTGAAATTGGGGAATAAACTATACAGGAGGCTATAAATTCTGACTTCATCTGTAATTTGTCATCCAGTTAGGATCTATTAAAGGGGCAGTTCACCCAAAACATTAAAATTGACTCTGTTTACTCTCCCTCATGTGAGTTCCTTTAAGAGTTTCTTTCTTCTGTCGAACACAAATAAGAATATACTGAGGAAAGCTGAAAACCATTGACTACACTAGTAGGACAAACTAATGGAAGTCAATGGCTGCAGGATTCCAGCATTCTTCAAAGCATCTTCTTTTTATGTTCAACAGATGAAAGAAAGTCAAACAGGTTTGGAACAAGTAAACAATGGCAGAATTGCGAGTTCATTTCTAGTGTTACGATGAGTTTAAATCAGAAGGTTTAATGGAATCTCAATGATCTCTTCTCTATAATGATTATGGTCTATTCTTCACCCTGCAGTGACCGGACGGTGAAGATCTGGCGTGCGAGAGGAAGTCTGGATGGATCTGCAGATGTGGGTGACACCATGGAGGAGGGCGTCAGTAACTGATGCACTGTTTTACTACAGTAACCCAGCTGCCAAAGACATTTGCACTTTGACCCTCCAGGAAATCCTGGATAACCAATCAAATCTGCTCACCACGGCTCCTCTGGAGTTCACTGCTTCGATAGTGATGCCCCACAATTAGGCACAGTCAACGTCACACGTTCAAAAAAAAAAGCTCTTTGTGCTTAAAATAACCCAGCAGCAGGGTTAATTCTAACAATCATGAAGATGGCGCTGAAAACAGACCTGCTGACGTGGAGTTTGAGGAACCGGATCTTCTGTAGCGGGCTTCAGTTTTCCGGTTCTTGAGGACATTCTGGAGTGACGCTTGTGGAGGAGTCTGAGGGAATCTCACATAAACACAACACAGCTCATTTGTTCAGCTCTAAAGAGGAAATCGATAATGAAGGGTGAAATGATTAGCATAAACATAACAAGGCTAATTTATGCACTTTTTTTGCATTGTGAACATACATCATGGCACATTTTCCCACAACACTTATTACTGTAATGAGAAAAAACTGAATATATTCATTCAGTATAAAAAAGAACTTGTTATTAGTTGCTGCCTGTAATAATACTGAATGAAGAAATATATAAACTAGAATTCATACATAATATAAATATAGCATTTATAGCTGTGCAGAAAAATCAGTCCAGAAATCGCTTCTGAGCTTGAAATGTTGACGCCGCTCTAGGATAGTTTAACAGCAGATGACGCTATTGGCTATTTTGACAGCAGACGGCTCTCCAGGCTAGTTTAACAGCAGATGGCGCTCTAGGCTAGTTTAACAGCAGACGGCGCTTTAGGTATTTTACCAGCAGACAGCGCTCTAGGCTAGTTTAAACAGCAGATGGTGCTCTAGACTAGTTTATAACAGCAGACGGCGCTCTAGGCTAGTTTATAACTGCAGACGCCGCTCGAGGCTAGTTTATAACAGCAGACGGCGCTCTAGGCTAGTTTATAACAGCAGATGGCGCTCTAGACTAGTTTATAACAGCAGATGGCGCTCTAGACTAGTTTATAACAGCAGACGGCGCTCTAGGCTAGTTTTAACAGCACACAACGCTCTAGACTAGTTTATAACAGCAGACGGCGCTCTAGGCTAGTTTATAACTGCAGACGGCGCTCAAGGCTAGTTTATAACAGCAGACGGCGCTCTAGGCTAGTTTATAACAGCAGACGGCGCTCTAGGCTAGTTTTAACAGCACACAGCGCTCTAGACTAGTTTATAACAGCAGACGGCGCTCTAGGCTAGTTTTAACAGCACACAGCGCTCTAGACTAGCTTATAACAGCAGACGGCGCTCTAGACTAGTTTATAACAGCAGACGGCGCTCTAGGCTAGTTTTAACAGCACACAGCGCTCTAGACTAGTTTATAACAGCAGACGGCGCTCTAGGCTAGTTTTAACAGCACACAGCGCTCTAGACTAGCTTATAACAGCAGACGGTGCTCTAGACTAGTTTATAACAGCAGACGGCGCTCTAGGCTAGTTTATAACAGCAGATGGCGCTCTAGATTAGTTTATAACAGCAGACGGCGCTCTAGGCTAGTTTTAACAGCACACAGCGCTCTAGACTAGTTTAAAACAGCAGATGACGCTCTAGGCTAGTTTCTAACAGCAGATGATGCTCTAGACTAGTTTCTAACAGCACAAGGCGCTCTAAGCTAGTTTTTTAACAGCAGATGGCGCTCTAGGCTAGTTTTTAACAGCAGACGGCGCTCTAGGCTAGTTTCTAACAGCAGATGGCGCTCTAGGCTAGTTTATAACAGCAGATGGCGCTCTAGACTAGTTTATAACAGCAGACACTGCTCTAGACTAGTTTCTAACAGCAAATGGCGCTCTAGGCTTGTTTTTTAACAGCAGATGGCACTCTAGGATAGTTTATAACAGCAGATGGCGCTCTAGGCTAGTTTATGACAGCAGATGGCGCTCTAGACTAGTTTATGACAGCAGATGGCCCTCTAGGCTAGTTTTAACAGCAGACAGCGCTCTAGGCTAGTTTATAACAGCAGATGCCGCTCTAGGCTAGTTTTTAACAGCAAATGGTGCTCTAGGCTAGGTTTAACACAGACAGCGCTCTAGGCTAGTTTATAACAGCAGACAGCGATCTAGGCTAGGTTTAGCAGCGGATCATGCTCTAGGCTAGTTTTTAACAGTAGACAGCGCTTTAAAATTAGCCTAGAGCAGTGTCTGCGAGAAGGGTATAAACGGGTGGGTCTTGGAGCTCCAAGTGGGCTGGGCAAACCTTATTTAGTTGTATTTAGACTTGAATATTGTGCTTTATGAATTTGTACACCTAACCCTAAACCCAACCTCACAGTAACCTGATAAACTCAACCTACTTGCGGTTTGAGTCCCTCCCACTTGGAGGTCACCCAACCTACTTGCGGTGTAATTCCTCCCACTTGCAGGTCTCCAGGATGCAGCAATACCTACTTGGCGTCTGCTGTTAAAAACTAGCCTAGAGCGTCATGCGCTGTTTAAAACTAGCTTACAGCGCCATCTGCTGTTAAAAACTACAGAACCGATAAACAATCGATTCAAGAGAGAACAGGGATGCAGAATCAATTTCTCAGATGAGTTTTCGACACGGCTCTAGTGGCGTTTATAATAATGTAAATGTAATGCATAATCAAACAGTTGCATTTCAAATAGGTTAACAATGCAAATGACTTAAGATTTGGCTTTCCTTTCCTAAAGATATGACTGCTTATTATGGATATTTCTGTGGTGTTGATTGTCTTTCTTCTCGCCTGACTGGAATCACCACGACCTTAAACAAGCGCTGTGTTTTGCCTAATCAATTTCATTAATCACATGGTGACCAAATTATGAAGCCATTTTCACATCACACACAGTATATATTATATCAGTGTAGACCATAACAATATAGAAACTGGCGTATGGCTCTCCTCACTCGTTCTGTGTTGTTGTCAGTCCATTAACACTTTTCTGCTCAAGTCTCCTTGTGTCTGCACCTGTTGGCTCTGGGTAGTGTTCACATTAATGCACTAGATACTGTACTGTATATATATATGTATATTGATATTCACACACCGTACTCAGTCGTGAGCGGAGATTTACTCGTGCCTGAACCACTTATCAATGTAGAGCAGAGCTTTTCTCCACTAAATGTGCTAGTTTACATGTCAGAATGTCTGGCGGTTTTGCGCTCGATGAAATAAACATATGAAGTCGGCCTGGAAAGCTTTTGTAAGCAGTTGTTCAAAGCTCTTAGTTTTCCGGCCACGCTCCGGCCTTCTGTATTTCTGACTGACTCTGAGCTTTAGTTGTCAACACAATGTTAGCCGATAGTGATTTGAATGTCAGATGTCAACTGAATTAAACGTCATCTGTCAAAAACCCACTCTGGAAGTGCAGCTGTGTTCATCAAATGCGAACGCTGATTATTATTACATTAATATTGAAAGCGGAGGGTGACGCGAGCTGTCCGACTCTGAAAAGTTATGCACAGAAGTGGTTCACACAGCTCTCTTTGAGTTTGTGTTTTATGTAAATTGCAACCCCGGCTCATTCTGAAAATGTACCCCTATACACATTTCTGGACAGCGGCAAATACGCCCCAGGTTTGTTTTTTAGCAGTTTGTTTTCAAGAATCCACCAGAGGCCGCTGTGTACGCTTTTCGAGATCTCAGATTTCTCTCACAAGTGCCATTCGCGCCTGCTCTTCTCAAGTAAATCCACCAGAAGCTGCTGTAGACTGACTGAATGACTGTCTGAGTGATTACACCCCCACCCACACCCCCCTCCACCCTTTCCTAAACCCAACAGACAGTGTTTTCTAAAAACGCAGATTAACCCGCCCACCCCCTTCCCTAAACCCAACCTACAGTGTTTTGTATAGGAACGATTGACCCGACCACCCCCTTCCTAAACCCAACCGACAGTGTTTTCTAAAAACACAGATTGACCCGCCCACCCCTTCCCTAAACCCAACCCACAGTGTTTTGAATAGCAACGATTGACCCGCCCACCCCTTCCCTAAACCCAACCCACAGTGTTTTGAATAGCAACGATTGACCCGCCCACCCCTTCCCTAAACCCAACCGACAGTGTTTTGAATAGCAACGATTGACCCGCCCACCCCCTTCCCCAAACCCAACCGACAGTGTTTTCTAAAAACACAGATTGACCCGCCCACCCCTTCCCTAATCCCAACTGACAGTGTTTTGAATAGCAACGATTGACCCGCCCACCCCCTTCCTAAACCCAACCGACAGTGTTTTCTAAAAACACAGATTGACCCGCCCACCTCCTTCCCTAAACCCAACCGATAGTGTTTTGAATAGCAATGATTGACCCAATGACCCCCTTCCTAAACCCAACAGACAGTGTTTTCTAAAAACACAGGTTGACCCACCCATCCCCTTCCCTAAACCCAACCCACAGTGTTTTAAATAGCAACGATTGACCCGCCCACCCCCTTCCCCAAACCCAACCGACAGTGTTTTCTAAAAACACAGATTGACCCGCCCACCCCTTCCCTAATCCCAACTGACAGTGTTTTGAATAGCAACGATTGACCCGCCCAGCCCCTTCCTAAACCCAACCGACAGTGTTTTCTAAAAACACAGATTGACCCGCCCACCTCCTTCCCTAAACCCAACCGATATTGTTTTGAATAGCAATGATTGACCCGATGACCCCCTTCCTAAACCCAACCGACAGTGTTTTCTAAAAACACAGATTGACCCGCCCACCCCCTTCCCCAAACCCAATCAATAGTGTTTTCAAAAGCAATCTAGAAAAAGAAAAGCCCTCTCAGTTGCCTGATTTTTACTACATTTTCTAATTTTACCACATTCTCACCCTGTTATTTACTTGTTAATTTATTAAAAATTTTTGGGTTACTTTTTGGAACCAATCTTCGCCGTACTTGAACCCCGTCATCGTGGCTAACTCCGCTCTGCATCACTCCTGTCAGCTAAGAACAGGAAACTGAGGCTACAATTCACACAGGCTCACCAAAACTGGACAATAGAAGATTGGAGAAACGTTGCTGCTCTGAGTCTCCATTTCTGCTGACACATTCGGATACTCGGGTCAAAATTTGGCCTCAACAACATGAAAGCATGGATCCATCCTGCCTTGTATCAGCGGTTCAGGCTGGTGGTGGTGGTGTAATGGTGTGGGGGAGATTTTCTTGGCACACTTTGGGTCCATTAGTGCCAATTGAGCATCAACGCCACAGCCTACCTGAGTATTGTTGCTGACCAGGTTTCTAGCTCACGTTTGGATTTACTAACGATGAAATGAACGTGAAAATGTGCGTTGGTCCACGGCAACTTCATGCCTGGCGTCTGTGCATTTCTTGTGCGTGTTTGTTTTATTTCTATTGGCGACTTCTAAAGGCAGTTCTGTTAAATTGCACACTACAAAGTGTCTTTGAGCCGTGCAATGGAAGCTGTATGGGACGGGATCATCTGGATGTCTAGCAGGTATATAAGCTTTCCATATCATACAGTTGACCAGCCAAACATTAAAGCGGAATTTGCAGCGGTCGCCGGTTTTCCCAATGTAATCAGAGCGATCGACTGCACACACACTGCATAAAGGCGCCATCTGAAGACGAATATGCATAAGTGAATCTGAAACATTTCCATTCAATAAATGTGCAAATAATATGTGATGCTCAAATGTGCTTCACATAACACACACACACTTATTAATGATTCCTACTTGTCTTCCTCGTGATGAAGAGTAGGCAAAATCTGATATGTAATGAAGAAAAAAGAAAAATAAGATAATCAGACGCTGGATTTGAACCGGGTTCAGGAATAATAGTGTCAAATCATGTTGCCCTGTGCTTTATGAGCTACGCTACTCGC